ATGAATAAAATTTTACTTTATTTGAGTAGATTCAACTTGGCAAGAAAAAGTATCTATCAGTTGTACAAGTGTGTTTTTCTTAATTCAAGCAACATTAGATTTTGTTTCTTATTTTAAATGTTAAGACTTGCTGTTTCTCTTATGTTAAAGGCACCACATATTGCCTCCGCTCTATTTCATTCCTTTCCAGCGACTAGGTCAGGAATCAGAATACACTAGACGGTTTGCAAGAACCCCGGAAGTTGTAGACCGCGCACCAGCCAGTCATTGAAAAGCTGTGAAGCCATGACGTCAAACTCAAGAGCCTGTCTGGGTCGCTGTGGTTGTGGAACAACACGACAGTAAACAGCAGTGGAGATGGATGTAGACCATAGACCGCATATATGAGTGGACATAGCTAACACACTAGCTGACACTGGCTCCATTTGACTTACATTAAGATCTTGTTGCCCCTCTCTCTGTAACTGCTGCATTGAGCCTTGTCATTTTGGTCTTAAAATGTTTGTATTAACCCGCTCTACATGATTCATCATTTGAGTGGCCCTGAACGCTATAGGTGACTGTGACAAAGTGGGCCTTTATCCCATTTTAAATTCACATTAGTTTATGTTAAACATTTTGACTTTGAAAGGGGACTTAGGCCCAGGAAAAGAAATCCTCACTTTGCTTTGAAGGTTACCTGGAAAGTCACCTGGGGGAGGCACTTCCTGCTGGGCGGGATATAAAGCAAAGCAGGTGTTGGCAATTAGGGAAGAGATGTTTGGTGCTTTTGATTTGAGTCACTTATTTTCTGTTTTTGTACTTTATTTATACTCCTCCAGAAGTCTGTTTTAAAATTAATTTTGTCTGGTTAAAGACATTTTTTGTTGTCGTCTCCCTCCTACTTTGACCACGATGGGCCAGCTTCCCCATAGTGACGTCACACTCACTTAGTCCACTTCTTTTATACAGTCTATGACGTAGACGAAGGCATACATTCTGTGTTGGCAACGATTCCCGAGGTAAAGGATTTAAAGCCAGAACAAAGAGAATGTTTGGTGAATTTTATCAAGGGGAAGGATGTTATTGCCCTTCTTCCTACAAGATTTGGCGCATTACATACGTCACGACCAAATAGCAGCAATTGGTTAAATTAAAAAAGCACTCGCCTACCTCTGAGCGAACGAATCCTAATGCTGTTATGTCAGATGGTTTTGTGAAATTGGCTGATGAATCAGGCTAGCACTGGGTAACTTTTCCCTGTCAAATGTTTTTCTCCATGGAGGTGTTATTGCTTCATCTGGAATGTTTCACAGTATTGTATTAAACCTTTCTATCTTCATGAAGACTAAACCAGAAGTTAGGAAACCTCACAGTCTCAATATTTGTTTTCCTCTGTAGTTTTGAGCTATAAAACCTTCTGTAATAGAATAAATGTAAGGTAGAGCTGTTTAATTAATGTCATACTGTGGAATATTCTAGGCTGAGCAATGCCATATCCATAGAAAAAGCAGGTGACAAACCCTCCACCAGAAAAGTTAGACAATTAATCTTTAATGACGAAAATAGCCTACAATTTCTTGACTCAATATCTGTATGCCCACCTCTGCAGGAGACTGTAGCGAGGACAGGGACACATCTTTGTATCCAGGAGGTCATTCAGAAACAGAGCCAAGTACATCCTATGATAGTCCTGAATGAAGACAGTCTTTTCCTCCTCCCCTCTGCGCTGGTTTCTGCGGCGCTCCCCAACTGAGAAACTCCATAAAGAATGATGGATGTTGATGGAAACATGCCGAGTGGTGATTATAGATCTTTGCAGCGCATTGTGGAAGGGCACGGGCACACACACAGACAGACAGACAGACAGATGGGATCAGAATGGTTAACAGCGCCACACATGTCTGATTAATGGAACTGCCATGCCCCCTAGTGGTACTTTTGAATAGGCCCGTTTCTAATTATCAGTCAAGCATGAGTAAAAGTGCAAATACTGAAGCAAAAAATATTCACGTAAAAATATCACCTGAAAAAATCTACTTAAGTAAATGTATTGAAGTATCCTTTTAAAAATGTACTTAAAGCTGCATTGTGTACATTTCCTGGTGGGGGTCTGCCAACACTTTTCTCCATGGAGATGTTATTGCTTTCTCTGGAATGTTCACAGTATGGTCTTAAACCTTTCTATCTTCAGGGAGATCAAACCGGACCAAGTTACAGGTCAGATCTGTGGAGAGGTGACCCCGCTCACAGTCAAAATTAGTGTTTTTCTAGGTATTTTTGAGTTATAAACCCACTTGCAATTGAATAAATGTAAAGTAGAGCTGTTTAAAGTCATACTGTGGAACATTCCAGACAGAGCAATGGCATATCCATAGAAACAAGCAGGTTCTCAACCAAAAAGGTACATAGTACATCTTTAAAGACTAAAAAGTAAAAGTAATTTGTATATATTTTGATGTCTTATAACGCTTAAAATGTAGTGGTTTTGATAAAGATTTGTCATTCATTTTGTGCATTATTTTTTTCTCCTAACTGTTTTATTTGATTGGTTTTTGTTTGCCCAAATTATAAATGTGTTCAAAATAAACCTTCAGCCTTTTCAGCAGGTCTCAGACAATAGTAAAAACATATTTACTTTTCAGTCCAGTTAAAAAATGTAGTGGAGTATAAACTACCAATGTCTTTTCTCAAATGTAAATAAAAAGTATCCATGTTAAAATCTAAAAGTAAAATAAAAGTAAAGTACAGATATCTAAAATGTATGCTTGAGTACAGTACTTTCACTACTTTTAATTTGTTATGTTCCAACACTGATTTTATTTTTCATAGTGCAGTGTTTTATATAAATGTCATTGTATGTGTTGAAAGTATTTGTGAGTGTTATGAGTGTTTATATATTTGATTAAGACAAACTGAATTAATCCTAAGTATCCTCCAATGCTCTGAGTGACAAAAGTGGTTCTAAAATATGTTGTGAATTATATTGTTTGTTATACAGTGGAGAATGAGGTACATATTACTGTAAAGGCATTTATTTGACATGATTTGGAACAGAGCACTTTGAGCTTTGGAAATGTAGACAGACTAATAATAGTATATAAAACAAAACACAAGTCCAGTTAAGTTTCTGAGGAGGTAACAGCATTATGAAATGGCTTAAAGCTCAAAAGAGTCCATTTTGTGTAATATTAATGTACCCTTGAATGTTACTGTCTATTGTATGTCATTTTTTTCTAAACTTTGACTGAAATCGTAGGAATGAAAATGGCTCCTTTTGACATGACGTCATTACAGCGGTGGGCACATAACCTGATTTAGACTCTTCCTCAAAGACAGTAAATTTCAAACTTTAATATCAGCGAGATTAAAAGTGGGGAGAAAGGTGCATTAAAAGATGAAGTATCCACTCATATTTTTTGCACTGGGGGATTTGGAGATTTAGGAGGGCCTTAGAGCAGCCCAAGTGTGTTCACCTTCAGTCTGGAGAAGAGCAGTGAGAGAGCAGCCCCGGGGTCTATTCAATGGGGACAGACTATTCAGCAATTTGGCTAATGTATGTGACTGCTGGGTTACCACAGGGAAGAGACGAGAACATCTCCACGGAAACCATTTTATCACTCCTGACAATGGAATGGGAATTGAATGCATCACAGAAAGATCTGCCCTCCCTTTTCATTTATCTAAAATGTATTATATTTTTCTTTTTGTATCCCTTTGGCATTATAGTTACGCTTCATCATAACCACATGGATAATGTATCTGTGGTCCCTTTGCCATGAGGACAAGGATGTAAATGGTAATATTGTCTTTTTCAATATTAACATGTAACTGCTCAATGACCTCCACCAAAGTCCATTCACTACAAGCTCCATAGATAACACCCTAGATGATATAAATCCATAGACTAGATCATTTTTCAATAGAAAATAAACAGAAAGAAGAAAGAAGAGAAAATAAGCCAGGTGTTGCTGCGTGTGAATAGTTCAGTTTAATTTAAGTAAAGGAACATGAGTTTTCAATGAATGCCTAGATTACAGTTATAAAACTCTATAATAATTGAATGACGATTCAATAGGAAATAAATTGTGTGATTTCTCTGCACATTTGAGACTGTGTCCTTGCCTTGGTGCTTTATTGAAGTTTTCTCACTTTATTGGACATGGAAAAGCCCTTGCCATCATCGCTTATGGGGTTTAAAATGGACAGATGAAGAGGTGCAGGCTTATGAAGCAGACTGAGTCACTGGTCTGTGGACAGTAGTAAAGAGGAGAGAAAAGCATCTCTCAATGATACAGCAGCACTCAAAGACGGGCAGGGTCACGGCTGACACAAAAACTGCAGATTTATGAAGCAATGGTCCCTTGGGAAATGTGCCCACAGAGCACTCTGTGGGATGATCACACTCACTTCACAGCCACTGTATTCCACATATGTTCCCTGCAGACAAGGGAGGAGAGCAATGGCATGGTGAGTATACCCAAACGTTGTAGACTATATTCAATATTAATATAAAATACATTTTAGTTAGCCATGGCCATTAAAGTATAATATTAATTTAGGCCTATAATGTATGATTTTTCTCTCTCTCTCTCCTTTAAAGAATGGGCTGTGTGTAATCTGCAGAATTTAAAAAATCAGATTTTTTTATTTATTAATTTTTTCTAAACAAGTTAAATATTTGCATGTGAACGAAATTATGTTCAATCATAATTAAAAGAAAATGTATTTCAGAGTAGGCCTATGACATTGACCCTCATTAAGTTAAAGATGTTGACAAATTGCTTGAGTAGGTACTTTACAACGAAAGAGGTTGATGCAACAAATTAAGAACGAGCATGGGTTTAAACACCTTTAGGCTTATTATTATTTTGAGGGTATAGCGTCTCATTTGTAATAAATAATATAGATATAATATAAGCCTTCACTCTCTCATGACCATTTCACAACCCTATGTTTTGTTTTGTTTTCAATTATTGAATTTTTGAGTAGTTACGTAAAATCTCGCGAGACTTCCACAACTCCCGTTCATAACCAGGAAACGAATTGTGGAGAGAAATTCACTGATGCTACTCACGCTTTGATCGTCCAGCTTTACGTTTCTATTGCCCATTATATCCGTCAGTTAAGTACAGTAAAATGCCTTTATTTTATTCGTTGTGCGTGGATACAAATAAACGATGCCGTCGTGTTTGAACGCTTGGGAGTGAATGGGGGAGGCAGCGGCCAATGATCCAGCGGCGAGTGTCCTGTCAGCGCCTCCTCAGCCCGCTCCGGTACGTGACCCTGCACTTTCAAACAGACTTTTAGCTACACAGTTCATTACAGTGTTTGCGAAATGTTTAATGCCACGGAATTACTTGTGTATGCGTGTATTTACTCTAAAATCTATGTGCGGTATCAGTCTAATAGTAAACCAAACATCCCATATGTTCATATCAAATCATGGACTTCTGTTGTGTTTAATGCACCAAGAGATTGTTATCAGAATAAACACAAATAGACCAAAGGAAGCAGATGAATAGTGCTTGAGGCTTTGTCCTATGTCATACAATGTGCAGGAGTACCACTTTCAAAACTAGAAAAACAAGAAATGGGCAATGTCTTTTTTTATTGCCTTGACAACGAGCTGCAATGCCCTTTATGCTGCTGCTGTAAGAAAAGTTTGTATTTTTCAGGCTTGCTGATTGAGGCTAAACTCCAAATTTATGGATCAAAATACAATCAAATAATGATTTCATGCTGTATTGCTGTTAGAATTACAGTTACATGAAATGTCTTTCAGACTTATGGCTGTTCAGCTAATCTTAGGAGACAACACACAGTGAAGACGGCAGCATCATGTTTCTGAAATCGTCCTTCACAACGCTGATTGTCGGGGTGTTTGTGGTCTATGTGCTGCACACCTGTTGGGTCATGTACGGGATAGTGTACACCAAACCCTGTGACAACCCCAAAAGTACCAACTGTATCACACCATTCCTGGCCTCTAACCCCAAACTGCAGGTTTGTTTAAATTAGTATATTGTTTATCAAATGCTGTTTTACTGCTTAGTAATAACATGTGTATTAACATTTCTGTCTGTTAGTTGAGCATCTACACGTCACTGCGACCCAACGCTGAGGGTGGACATACTTTGATTCACAAAGAAGAGGACTTTGACATTGACAAAAAGTTTGAAAGGTTAAGAATTTTTCACCTTTTTATTATATTAGATAAACTTTATTAGGTAAACTCCAATTCCAATTTCATACATAACAGTTATAAAGACATCCCTGCTGTAACTTGTTTTACATCTGTATGTTATTTCTTTCACTTCCTTATTTCCTCCCTGTGAATTGGTTCTTAATCTCTTTTCCCCATTATTAATCCTCAGGATGATCAATGTCTCCCTTCCGAAAAAAACACGTAACAATGGGACATTATATGCCCTAATATTCGTCCATCAAGCTGGTGTTGACCCCTGGCAGGACCACAGACAGGTGCACCTGATAGCGCAGCTCACCACTTACATGGTCCCCAAACCTCCGGAGATCTCTCTTATAGCTGGAGAAGATCAAACAGCGGTAGATTAAGATGTTTTATTCTTTTTTTGATTATTTTTTAACTTTGTATCAGAAAATTCAGCTGATGTTGTATGGTCTCATAGGACGTAAAAGAGTCCCAGCAAAAGAAAAGAGCCAATGCAAAACCAGCAGGGGACGCCAAAGGACCCTCTGCCTCTTCAGATCACCCAGTGGCTCATTGGCGATCACGACTGACTTTCAACATTGTTGGAGATCACTTTATATTTGACAGAGAGTACCTACCAAGTGATGTCCACAAATACCTCAGAGTGTAAGTTGTGAAAAACAGTATCTACATACTCAATAAATTATAAATTCATCTGTGCATAAATTATTCTGTTTATTTATGAGCAGATTTCAAAATGGCAAGAAAATGGTGTATCTACCTCTGCTGTTTGTTGATGAGCTCAGTAACCGAGTCAAGGACCTTATGGTGAGCCTCTGTAACTAATGTGTTAACATTTCTGCTAGTTCTTAACAATATCAAATATTTTGGGCACACTTCTAAAATGTAAATTTTTTTGCCTTGTTTCTGTGTAGGAGATTAATAGTACATCTGCAGAGCTGCCTCTCACCCTCACGTATGACTCCATCTCACTGGGCAGACTGAGGTTCTGGATCCACATGCAGGACGCAGTCTACTCGCTGCAGCAGTTTGGTGTGTTGTGATTTAAAACCTCTACATCAGAAATTTGAATGAACTTAGCCCAAAATCCTAACACTTCACATTTGTATTGTAGGCTTCACAGAGAAAGATGCTGATGAGATCAAAGGCATCTTTGTGGACACAAACCTGTATTTCTTGGCTTTGACCTTTTTTGTAGCTGCTTTTCATGTGAGTACAGTTGACTTTAAACACATTTAAAATTGGAAAAGGTTTTAATTGGGTTACTCTGATGGATTACTATATAATTATATTACAGGTCACTTATTGACTTGTAAAAACAACACTGTACCTTTTTCAAATGAGTGTTTTTCTGTTATTGACACAGGGTATAATCATCACTAATACATGTGGCATTAAAACAGTTATGTTGCTTTGTTTTAGCTCTTGTTTGATTTCCTTGCCTTTAAAAATGACATAAGCTTTTGGAAACAAAAGAAGAGCATGGTGGGGATGTCAAGCAAAGCAGGTAATTAATTGTATTATTTTCATATGTTTGAGACATAAATGTGGTAAATGTGGTATGTGGTATTAATATTAAAAGGCAGGTTTTGCTTTTTTATAGAAAGATAAAATGTGCCTTATTTCTACTTATTATTTCATTTACACACAAATTGTCATAACTTGTACTCACTTTCTCTCTTTCAGTTCTGTGGCGTTGTTTTAGCACGATAGTCATTTTCCTATATTTGTTTGATGAGCAGACCAGCCTGCTTGTGCTCATACCTGCAGGCATTGGCTCAATCATTGAAGTAAGCATGACATTTTGTGATTTTTTTATTTTTAGTGATGTCTTATAATTATGTAAAATATCTGTATTAAAGGTGTGGAAGGTGAAAAAGGCCTTTAAGATTCAAGTTTGCTGGAAAGGAGGCAAGCCAACGTTCCTGGTAAGAGTCAGTAATTGCTATTAGGATTTTTAGACCCATTTAAAGGTCTTATATTACACAAAATTTACTCTTGTGTGAATGAAAGAAAACACAACTCCAGATATGTTTTTGATGAGGAAACAACATTAAAATACATCTTTAATACAATTCAACATAATGTATTTTGTCTTATTTTGGAACAGTTTGGGAAGCTTGATGAATCTGAAAAAAGAACAGAAGAATACGATACACTGGTAAGCTACATCAATTAAGTAATGGTTGTAAATTGTGTGTCAATTAATCCTTAATCCTATGTTAAACAGGCAATGAAGTATCTTTCCTATCTCCTTTATCCACTATGCATTGGAGGAGCTATATATGCACTTGTTTTCCTTCGATATAAGAGGTAAGTTACTACACTAGAAATTATTCTTTTGCATTTTTGTAATTTTATTGAATGCTAAACTCTTTCTCTTTGTTCTAGTTGGTACTCATGGGTAATTAATAGTTTGGTTAATGGTAAGAATGGTGACGCACATAAATGTTATGATGAATTTTGAATCTTTCTGAGAATAACACTTTTTTCATACATTTTTACAGGTGTGTATGCTTTTGGATTCCTCTTCATGCTTCCTCAACTATTTGTTAATTATAAGGTTGGTACATTACTCATAACCTATTTAAACAACAAAATATAATCATGCAATTTTAAAATATGTTTATAATTTTGTTTCCTTATTTTATTAGCTCAAATCAGTAGCCCATTTGCCCTGGAAAGCCTTCATGTATAAGGTGAGGTACAATTTAATCATTTTGTTAAAATACTCCAAATGTTATTGTTTTATATTTTAATGCATTGTTGTTTTTTTGTTGTTGTTTTGTTTGTTTTTTACAGGCGTTTAATACTTTCATTGATGACGTCTTCGCCTTCATCATCACCATGCCAACATCTCACAGACTGGCCTGTTTCCGGGACGACGTTGTGTTTCTCATCTACCTTTACCAGAGATGGTACAGTATACAGTATATAAAGCTGGCATGTAGTATTAGGATTAGGCATATGTGCATATTTTATCCTCAAAGTTAAAGCTGCGGTGTGTAACTTTTCTGGTGGAAGGTCCGTCGCCTGCTTCTGCACCTGTTTCTGTGCATACAATATGTCATTACTCTGCTTATAATGTTCCACAGTATGACATTAGACAGCTCTACCATATATTTATTCAATTACAAGCTTAAAAATAGCTAGAAAAACAGACATTATGACAGAGTGGGGTTGCCTCTCCACGGATCTGATCTGTAAATTGGTCTGGTTTGATCTCCATGAAGATAGAAAGGTTTAATACCATATTGTGAAATATTCCAGACTAAAGAGAAAAGCATTTGATGGATCCGCCACCAGAAAAGTTACACAATGTAGCTTTAACTTGTCAACTCCACTATTACTCACAGCTAATGACGTTGTGGGAATTCCCATAGTAATTGTTGGGCTGTAGCTGAGTACATGTACCTAAAATAAGTATTCTGAGTACTAATTTTGAGTAAGTATATTCCAGTTAGGCATGGCACGATATTGAAGTCTGGTGTGACGATTATCATGGTCAAAATAATTGCAATTAACGATTATATCACGATAATTATTAAAGGTGCTGACAGTTTAAAATGTTATAGATATGAATAATTATAATTTTAATGTTATGAATAATATATCCAATACTATACAATTGTTATAAGTGAAAACAATAATGATCTAGAAGAGGCCATGATGGATAAATATCTTTTTTCGGCACTGGTGATAAAATGGCGATGATTTTTGTTGCCGATTATCACGATTATATAAAATGTCCCACAAACGATTATTTTCGACCCTTTTTCTCACAATAAATTATATTATTGTTTATTTTCACATCCCTAATTCCAGTACAATTACTTTTTCAGTCAGTGGTATGGTTACTTTCCTAAATTGAAAGGAATAAGGAATATGTGGCTATACTTCATTCAGTTTTGGCTTTGAACTGCATTGTCTTGAAAAACAGAAAACAGATCTTTTGGTGCATGCGTGTGTTTTTTTTTTCATTTTTCATCTCAAACTGTATTTCTATAGCACCTTCCAACAACCAAAGCCGACCAAAGTGCTGTACAACATTAAAACAGGATAAAAAACAATAAACATCATACAAACAAAGCAACAAAGCACATTACACCATTAATATAAAGAAAGTGTCACAGGGCCACTAAGTGTTAAAAGCCATTCTATATAAGTACGTTTTAAGAGGCAGGTGAGGGATGGACCGTAACTCAATCTGCAAAGATTTCCAGAGTTTTGGACCGGCCACTGCAAAAGAACGGTCACCCCACTGTTTGCACCGGGACCGGGGGACCTCCAGCAGATGTTGCCCAGCAGATTGTAGAGCTCTGCTGGGTTGGTGAGGGGTCAAAATCTCACACAAATAGGAAAGTGCAAGACCACTGAGTGCATTAAAAACAAACATCTACATTTTAAAATGAATTCTGCACTGGACAAGGAGCCAGTGCAAGGAGTACAGGACAGGGGTGATGTGGTCATGTTTCCAGTTGTTATTGAGCAGGCGAGCAGCAGCATTTTGCACGAGCTGCAAACGGTGAAGACCAGCTTGATTAATCCCCACATAGAGTGCATTACAGTAGTCTATGCGGGAACTAACAAAGGCATGGATAGCTTTCTCCAGGTCACCACAGCTTAAGAAGGGCTTAACTTTTGCTAGGAGGCGGAGCTGAAGAAGCTTGCTCCAACCACAGAATCTATTTGTTTATCAAATCAAATTAATCTCTAATTGGACATAAACGTATGCATAACAAACAGTGCAACAAAAATAAAGCTGTCTGATATAATGCAGTTCATCATAAAAGTATTCAGAGTATTCAGAATTTGGTGTGTATCAGAATACGCTACAAAATACATTTTTATTCTGTATTCTGTAACTAAACACATTTTCAAAGTATTCTTCCCATCACTGTGACATTATGAAGGTGGATTGTCCTGGTGGTTTTTAGGATCTTTTTTGTAACCTTTCCATTCTCCATTCTCTTATAGGCTCTATCCAGTGGACAAGACCAGAGTAAATGAATATGGAGTTTCCTATGATGAAGACGCTAAAGGAAAATCTCACAAGGACTGAGAAGACTGTTGAAATAATTGGTTGACTGTGTAGTGGACTGTGAAAATAATAAGTGAAATCATATGTTAATGGCCAGATACTTATAGAGCCTTTATGTTGTTTTGAGTCACAATAGTTATATCAAGAATGATTCATTCAAAAGTGCTTACTTACACAAAAGATTAATGGTCTTAATGACTTATTATCCATTGCAAAAAAAAGTAATTCAGATTGTGATAATATGGTTTTGTTTTTCCTTATTTCAGACCATTATTTCAGCCAGTCTATCTATTAGTTCAAACTTAACTGCTTTTGCACTTATTAATCCACACATACTACAGTGGGCTGGGTGGTACAATGGGTGATTTTGATATAAAACATTCCAAAATATGGATTTCTTGAAGTTACATGTAATTCCACTATAGAAGGTTTTCTAGTTGTACCAACTCAAGTATTGTCACATATCAGGGCAGAAGTTTGTGCCAAATGAAAGACAAGTTTGAAAATGTAACCATGTTTAGTTCATCATAAACTTTCCTCCTGATATTTTTCAGTAGACCACGTTAAAGGGAAAAATGCATTTACTTGAAGTGTTATTTCTTTAATTTAAACCTGTGTATGGTAGGACACCATAAAATACAATACACAAAACAATATTTTACTGTAAATGTTTTTGTTGTTTTTTTTGTTTTGTTTTTTGTCAGATTTTGTTTTTCTAATTGTGAATCTTTGGAGGATAAATATTAATAAAAATACACAACTAAATATGGTATAATTTATCAAATTAGTGTTCTAGTATGTACCATGCAGAGCCATCATTCTTGCTGATATCAGAAACTACAGCTCCGTGGCTGATATGCGCTCGTGTACGTTTGACGTCTAATGTTTGCGTCGTGACGTTATAGCACGCCAGACATACGTACACTATAAATACTAAACACCCGCCCTCGTATTTCCCTTTCCGGTGTAGGAAGTAAACGTGCCTGAAGGTGCTTGGTTCTTCATCCGAAGCTAAGGCCCGCAATCCGGCGACTAGCACCGTCAAATTTAGGCATCTGCCACTACTACCATAAAAACTAACTTCTACAATGGCCTCCGTGTCTGAGCTCGCCTGCATTTACTCTGCCCTCATCCTCCACGACGATGAAGTCACCGTGACCGTAAGTGCCCCATACCGGCTCATATGACACCGTTTACCCCGGGTATTTCTAATGTACAGCTGTTAAATTGTAGTTTCATCAGAGGTGGCAGCTAATGTTCTTCATAATCTTGTAAACCAGATTTGAGTGTGTGGTTAAATGAGCATTAATGGGTAAAAAGAGTCATTCGAGCCAAAATGGCGGTAAGTCTGTGGATGACAACAGCTTTGAGCTTACCCACGTTTTTACTACTAGGTTAAAGAACAGGCTCAGCGCGGTAGTTTCACAGGTTACAAATGTGAAAAAATTATGTTAAAGTACAATTTTAAAGTAACCCCTTTTCTCTACACGTCTAGAAAATTAAGTGCGACCAGTAGATGTTTCTGTGTTAACATGTGTTTACTGTTGTGCTTACACGATATCTTTTTCAAATGGACACTTATTCACTGCAGTAATATGTGTAGTGTGTAGTAAAATGTGGTTTGAGTACAGTTACACGTTCAAACTAAAGGTTGAATTGAGTTAAAGCGTCACCATGTCGCTGTTGTAGTTAATGCATTACAGAATAGAGATGTTAACAGTGTTTTGTTTTTGTGCTGCAGGAGGACAAGCTGAATGCTCTGATCAAGGCTGCCGGTGTCACTGTGGAGCCCTTCTGGCCCAGTCTTTTCGCCAAGGTGAGTTGGGTGCTCTATCCTTTAATGCAACTGGACCTTGGATGATTATCTTCAATGGTGTACATGATTGCATGCTCTTATTCCAATGTCCAAGATAAATTACTATTAAAAGAATTGACAGACATAAAAACTAGCACAACACTGCCAGTAGAGCAAAGGTACAAGGGTCAAAACGTTTGTACAATAAGTGGCTTGGACTGTGGTCATGTTCAGTGCCACTTGCACATGGACATGATGCATAGAGCATAATGCTTTCATTTACAGTTGTGGATTGTTGTGGTTGGTTGTAGTTGTAATAAACAGTAAATTGTGATATTGAGTAGTACTTTATTGGGATGCACTTTTTATGGCTGGAATGTGTTTTCAGGCCCTGTCCAGTGTGGACATCGGCAGTCTGATCTGCAATGTTGGCGCCGGAGGTGGTGCTCCTGCTGGGGCCCCAGCTGGTGGAGCTGCTCCTTCAGGTGGAGACGCACCAGGTGAGAGCTGTCAGATTAAACTATGCGTAATTGTAAATTATGTATACTTGTTATAAAACTATTGAGTCAAATTAACATTTACAGTTGAGCATTTACATGGTATACATCTAATGTGTGTGTGATTCCTTTTAAAGTTTTTTTTCTTGCTCTTAATTCTTACCACTTGTGTCTACAGCTAAAGAGGAGGAGAAGAAAGAAGAAAAGAAGGAAGAGTCTGAGGAGTCTGATGATGACATGGGCTTTGGTCTCTTTGATTAAATCTGATGTTTTTGTAAAAACACAAATAAAAGAAATGCCCCAAATATACTTGTCTTTTCATACAGCTGTCTGCTTGAACATTTTGTTAAGGCACTTGTTGGCTCTAAACTAATGTATAATAACAGCAAGATTAGTATAATGTCATACTGTTCAATGTCTCAATGATGGAAAGATGGTGACTAAACTGTCCACCAGTAACATGGTGCAGATTTTTAATTAAAGTACATTTTACTAGTGGCTGAGATCCTTGACTCGAAGGACAGGTAATGAGGACCAGAGCTGTTACAACTTCCAATCACGATTGTGCGACTTAAGCCAAGAAATGTTAACAGTACTGTCATGTGTTCCTCTCAAGTCTATGGTCTCATTATTACACTTTCTGGCAGTATGTAGCCTTTAAAGTTAAAGTCTCAGTGCCACAAGAGGGCGCTGCTAAAGATGTCTAGAGTGAATGTATGTTTGATGTTACGCCTTTAGACATTCAATTGGGATATATCTGATTGCAGTTTTGCTACTGGACCGTAATAATAAAACTGGTTTCAATTATAAAAAAAAAAAAATGCATTTTTTACATAATAAACTTGTGGTAGTGTATCTTTTGTTTTTTAGTTTAGTAAAATTGGGGGGAAAAAGAAAAGTCCCTTAAAGGCACACTATGTAACTTTTTCTGGCAGAGGATCCCCGTATCCTTGTCTCCATGGATGTTGTTCCTTTGTCGGGAAAATTCCACTGTACTTTTATAAGCATCAGTCTCCATGGAGAAATTAAGGTGGCATCACTAGGCCAAGTTACAAGTCATATCTGTGGAGAAGTGAGCCCGCTCAGTTAGAATGGATGCTTTTAAAGGTATTTAGTATGCCACCAAAAATGCAATGCAATTATTTCTCTATCCAGCAGGTGGCGGACTCCAGTCCAGGAAAGTTAACACACCTTATGCAACTTCTTCAAAATCAGATGTTCTTTGACTCCTCTGTAACATATTGCCTATTTGTTTTTGTCATTCAGGTCCCAATAAAGACACTCAGAGCTCACACAGACTCAGCCACAGCCGCTCGCTTCTGCCTCAGTGACACGCACTTCGTGAACTGCTCCTCCAGCTGCACCGCTCGCCTCTGGGTACTGAACTCAGAATCCCAGATTTTTACCAAAATATGAATAAAATAGTAATTATAGCACATTGATGATGTCTTTTATAATTAAGTGTTTTTACAGGAGGTAGAGAGCTGTCGTCCTGTCAGAGATTTCCCTGAAGACCATGAAAGAACTATAACAGAGTGTGCCATGATCCCAGACACCAACAGGTTTGTGAATTTCAACTGAATGAATCATGTTTACATAAAAAACTATTGCATGACCAGGCAGTGTTACATCTTGTTTGAATGCAGAAGAGTCTGGAATCAAATTCGGATCTTTCCTCCAGTTGTGATGCATTCTGGCAACCCTCATGTGTTTTTGTGTTCTTGTCTTCTCAGGATGGTCACAGTCTCCTGGGATAAGAAGATGGTGGCCTGGGACATGGAGACAGGACAGATGCTGGTAACTACCTCTTACAGAGTTCAACAGTGACCACCCACACCACTGGTTCCGGAAATTTACCATTTTCTTCATAGACTAGGGTAACCAGATGTCCCTATTTATCTGGGACAGTCCCAGTTTTGAGCCCTGTGTCCCCTGTCCCTGCAGATTTATACAAAACCAGTGATTTATCCCACTTTTATACAAGAAATGTCCCAGGTGTCCCTATTTTTGACCAATTTGATCTAAACCAGGTCTACACCAGAACTAAACTAAAATTAAACCAGGACTACATCAGGTCTAAACCAGGACTAAAACAGGACTATCATAATATTAATCTAACTAATCGGATTCCCGCCAACAGTAAAGAGGAGCATAAATTGTCATTTGTTCTGCCAAAATACAGAAAACCATTTTTGTGAATGACCATAAATGAAATCAGTCTTTTATCAGCTATGTGGTGACTAATGAATGTTAGCTACCTGGTGAGTTACCATATTAACTTTATCCCAGAAGAAAATGGATGAATGCCAGAATATTGCTATTCTTTTATCCATTATACCTTTAATGGTAAATGAAGTCATAGTTGTCAGTAACTAAAACAAACCAGGAAGAGACCATCATGACAAGATTGATCGAATGGAGCGGTTTCTATTATGAAGCTGTTTTAGATCAATACTTTGGTTTACACTGCAGACATAATGCAACTAATTACCAGAAACAACTCAATATGTCTTCTTTAATATGCTGAATTTCCCACTCTCTGATGGGGACAGGAAGAAACAAATGTTGAATGAGCTTGTACTAGTTTCAAGGTCCATTCTTTTTTACATATTTTTTACATTTACACCCTTCACCCATGAACAATAAGTATGTACTTCAAACTGTAAATGCACATGCAGAGATGTTAATGTCTCTAATCTTTAAGGGTCAGTGCACACTCCTCTGCTCAGTCTGATGTGAAATATTTTTTTCTTTCTGTTGTTTCAGGCTGAAGATGGTTCGTGCTCAGTGTCCTCTGTGAGGACTCAAAACTCTACAGTTGCTGTTTTAAACAATAAATTGTAAATATTGTACAATTAACTGTTGGTGCTGTTGCCTTATTTCACATTACATACAGTTTGCTCTCTCAAAATATGTCAAATATCATATTGGCCAAAATCATCTCAAGTCTATAAGAGACTCACACCCTTATGTGCAGATAACTAAGGCTGACGAGCAGCATTTAAGTATTTTTTTATTTGCACAATAAAAGAACTGCTGCAATAACCTTATGTTTAACAGAGAGCTTAGGTATTTTTCACTGAAAATGAAGGTGCTGCATCCAAATATGGGATCCTAAGATTATAAAACAGCCTGTGTCCTGATAAAGGCTTAGAGCCTGAAGTGTTTGTGCTGTTCATAGACTGTATACATAAATATTGTTCTTTTCTGTTGTGTGTGAAGCACAGACTTTATTCTCATGTCTGTGAGAAGGAAAATTAAACCTATGAAATTTATAAGGAGCTACAAGACACAGGTACAAATACACAGGTACAAACACGACCGGAGCACTGTCCTCCATCTATGGAAGTGTAAGATCTTATTACAGATCCATGCCTCCATAATGTTTATCAGATTATTAGACTCATACTCAGCTACCCAATGTTTTGTAGTTTCTATTATTATTATTTAGAGATACTAGATAGATAGATAGATAGATAGATAGATAGATAGATAGATAGATAGATAGATAGATAGATAGATATAGATTTTGTATTAGACTATATGTGCTCATATCAGTTCATTTGAGTCATATCTTGGCATTTGAGTGCGCTGGGTCAGAGCAACTTAATTGAGGTCTATGGGAGAGCCTGAAGTTTGCAGAAAACTTGACATCATTATGTTGCTCCTGCCTATTACTTTACATTCATAGACCGTACATATGTTTTATACAGTCTTTTCTTGTAGTTTTGCTGATGTTGTTGGAGCTGGTTGTGAGCAGTGAATCAGGTTGTGCGTTGTGCTCTAATAGATATAGTTCAGACAATAAGGGCCAAAAAGACAAATATAATATATATTTATAATTATGGCCTATGCGCTTCTCCAAAAAAAGCCGCCACTGATAGTACCCAAGATCACTAGCTTATGGATCTATTACAATAACCCTGCTGCTTCATATCCTACGTTACATGTTGTAAAGACAAGACAAAATGCACATGAGCTTATAGTGGAGCTGTTAAGGACCAAAAACGGTGCCCAGTTGTTCACTTTTGTGGTACAAGCGTGAAACTTTCCCAGATTATTAACATCTCTAGGACCAACATTTCTGCATATGGAGTCGAGTGCTGCTCACATTTTTATTTTTTATTTTTTGGAAAATAATGTTAAACAAATTAGCACACAGGTTATAAAGAAGAAAATGTATTCTCAATTTCCAATGCCATGTGGAAAAAATGAATAAATCTGGTTTATAGCTGATGTTATCCCATTCTCACTGTATGTATAAAAATGTTAATACAAATATTTAAAAATAAATTAACTAAATAAATAAAAACTTATTGGGAAAAGTAAACCAAAAGCCTTTCCATACAGGCAAAGAAGGTGATGTGTCTTGCCCAACAGCACAATTTACAATGACAGTATACAATGCTGCACAATAGATGTAATAGAACCACCAACCATCACCTGGGAGAAAATCAATGATCTATATGTATATGTAAGGGAGTGATCACTAGGTGGTGCTCTTGTACTTTGTTTACATGATGAGACCATAGACAGTCTATGGATGAGACCGCTTTTATTTATTTTTTTGGCCCTTCATGTCCAAGTGCCACCACAGCGGCAGAGTGAAGAGTCTCTACAGTACGCCTCCTGGCCTCTTCTCTTTGCCCTTTGCCCTTAGCACTGCCAATCGCCGTTAATCTAATTTATCAACATCTTAGTTGATTCTGAGCGACCAGCATGTTGGATTGTTTGTTTTCTTAGCTCTTGAGTTCCAATACAGATGAGGTGTTTTTGAATTCATCGAATAAATATACTGACTGAATAAATGTACTGACTTCCGCTCATTCCACAGTCAAAAAGAACCGCTGTGTCTGCTGTGATCCTTCTCTCCACACCACACCTAGTCTCTCATACATCACTAAACGCAACGCAGGGTCCTGAAGCTGGATGTGCTGAGACAACTGGGAGCACATATAGACGGTCAGTCCGTGAGGGTTACATCTTTTTGGTCCTGTGACCCGGATTGTGGTGCTTCATACCAAAGGAAGACAGAGAGAGGAGTGAAGAGAGGTGTTGTTGCTTGGCTCTCCCTGGATGGTGTCCTGGCTGCTATAATCACTGTGGAGTTGAGTGACCATGGACGTGTGGACCGTGTGTCTGGCCTGGAACCGGCTGCACCTGCTCCTCCATCTGGCTGTTCTGCATTGGATTCACTGGCCTGCTCTAGCTACAGACACTGAGACTGGGTGAGCGCCTCCTGTTGATCGTGCACCTCCAACTGCAAAACAAGCTGAGCCATAAAACCAAGTCAGCTCCTGACGATGGTAAAGTTGGGTGCAGTGGTATACACAGAGGGTTCTGTGTGTAATAAATGTATTATTTTGCATAACAGTATTATCGGCGTGAGGTATTTCCTCTTGAATCCAAAGTGTGTTAACAGTTTTGAGTTTTCACCTGAAAGTATTGAGGTTGTTCATTCTGAGTAATACCTGTTCTGGTTGTGCATTTTATGGTGTACTTTTGACACTGTTAAAGCCAAAGCTGTCAAGTCACTTTTGCACATTAGTAACTTAAAATGCTGCACCAAATCAACACTGACATGCCAGTAGATCAGCAAGTGCCCCAAGTAGGACCTTTTACGCACCAGATAGACTGTAGCCACACCGGTCCCCTACACTGACCATTACCCGACTCCCGCTCACTCTACTGCCATTCCCAATGTCTCCAAGCTACTGCCCTCCCCCACCTTGGAGCACAGCCCGGCCGCCAGACCCAACCACCCAGTCAACAGGTTAGAGCAATGGCAACCTGTTGAAAGTGTTGCAGCCTTCATGCCTCTCATGGGGCTCAGCAGTAGGGCCACCTCCTGCCTCAAGCCCTGTGCCATCTCTGCTGGACCTGCTGACACCTACTCCAATGTACCATGACAAGCCAATGCCCCCTTAGGCCATACCTGTCAGAGCCTCAGCCCACCAAAGCTCCCCTGTACCTGCCTTTGGAGCCTTCATGCAAACATACCAGGTAAAAAATGTGCAACACTGGTAACATGGACAGTGAGATACTGGTGGAAGATTGGATAAGGGACATGCAGTACCTCCTTGATGCCATTGAACTTCTTTGAGTGCAATCAAAAGCCTGGTGAGCCTGCCTGCTCCTTCGCTGTAGCGTTAAAGGCCATACTGCGCACTGTTGAAGAGAGCCAACGTAGTAGCCGTCCCTTCCTTGACAGAAACAGTAAGCATGTCAGTTTCTGAGGGGGCTTGTCGATGAAAATGTGTACACCACAATTGCCCCTCTCAAGCCCCGACTTCTAAGTTTGAGAGCGCTTCAAGCTGAGCTCCGTGCCCTAGCCAGAGAAGGTAATAGGTTCCGATCAGCACACAAGCAAAGAAAGTCATATGCCCTGTTTGGAGAAATAACTTTTCTTCCCTTATCTGATTCCTTTAATTTGTTTTCCACCTCTAATTAGGACAGTACTTTAGTATTTTCCACCTTCTTCAAGAGCAATACTCAAGTTCCACCTCTACTTAAAGACAGTACGATACCTTTCCACTTTTCCCAATAGGAGTACTTTAAATGTTCTCTATTACCTTAACCTCTTTCTTCCGAGTGCTTGTTGATGGAGAAGGCTTCACAGACAGGAAGAGTTCAATTCACTTCTGTTTATTGAATACACTTCAAAATATTGAATAACAAAGCAATAAGGTTCAACTACCTGTCCCTGATCTAATACAAAACCTGGGATCTGGACAGGTGTGTCGCTCTCGTCTCCCCTTTCTGAACCCCTGTCTGTATTGTTTCACTTCCTAGTCAAACGTTGAGGGTTTCTAGTCCTTTTTTGGTTGCATCCAGTAGCTGTCTTCTTGTTATTGCTCCACACAGTCCTCATTGTAAATTTCCAAGAGATTCGCAGAGTTGTCTTCTCCTCACACCATCTTTTCACCTTTCACCCAGGCCGCAATGTCTGTTACATACGAGAGAAAGTTGTGAAGGTTATGCTGCACAAAGAGGAAGTAGCACCACCTTGACCTTTATCTGAATCCATTCTTTGCAGCTCTGCACTGTTTACCCAACTGGGTAGTTGCTATTCCTTTGAATGACACATTGCCTATTCTCATGTAAATGATGAAATGTACTAAATTGCGCCAGAATTTCCCCCCTTTAAAGCTACACAAAGGCTATTCCCGCAAGGAAATTAGTTACTATTGAATGGACTTCTCTGGCTTGGCATACAGCTTTTATTTTGTTTCAAATGAAAAGTTAAGCAATTACTATTGATCAGGAGTTGCTCTCCATTTTAATGTTAATAATGAATGTGCACTAAATTGCACCCAAATTTCTGTGCAATTATTCTATTGCAGAAGTGCTGTTGAATGAACCTTTAATTACATTAGATAATTAAAATATTGTAAACTATTTAAAAAAATGGAAGGGCCTGAGCGACACGTACCTAAAGGAGAGGAGGAAAGAGACACAAAAGAGGAGTGGTTCAGCAGGAGGCATCAAGAGAAAGTGTAAGTACTCCAGGTTCCTGAACCAGGTCCAGGTGACTACAACTGCCAGGAGAACAAGAGAAAAATCTCCATGATAGTTAAAGAACTGGGACCCGGAGTGTGCAGGTGCCATGATGTTAACCTGCTTGCTGTCGAGTGCCCTACAGCAGAGGGGGAAGTTCCACCTCTGTTGAAACTCCTCAGCCATAGACCTCCAGTCTTCAGTGGTAGGGACAGCCATAAACTCCTTCACAAGGCAGTCCCAAATGGAAGTCAACACCTGAGGGCCAATGTTGCTTATAGTTGAGACACCCACTTGAAAACTGTATGCAATTTTCCAAAAGGAATACCCAGTGGTAAGGTACCTGTAGAAACCATAAACAAAATCATCAAAGTCATCAAATATACACTGAAAATGTGGAAATGTATTTAAACAATGAGCCATGTGAGTCGCAAATAATTCTTACATGTAAAATTAGTGATGTACCAAAAGGTATGTGATGCTAGGGACTAGATCAGGGATGGGCATACTACGGCCCGGGGGCCATATGTGACCCTTTAAACCTTTTAATCCGGCCTGCCGAACTTGAATAAATAATCATAATAAACCTTGTTAATGTTTTATTTTTCCTGCATTTCCGGCGTTTCCCAGTAGACGGCGCAATATATATACATTGAGGTGCGGCGGCTTCTGTTGGCCGCAATGCTTTATGGGAAAGTATTGACAGGAGTCATTTCGGGCGGTGTATTCGGACCATGAAAGAGGTAGAAGTGTTCAAGACATAAGACTGCACTGTTTCCGCTTAAAGCTTGAGTAAAACAAAGTCATATGTTTAATATTCTCACTATTAGAAAGTCATAAAGGTTTGTTAGATTGCGCGTTAGCATGGGCTCTGTGACGTCTAAGTGCTCGGGACACATGTTTGCCTTTGATGTGCAGTGGGGCAGGCCTCATTTCACTTTTCATGAGTTTTGGAACTTACATGTCTAAAAGTTGCAGTGTGTGGTGCAGAATACGTCCTACATAAGAGTAAATACGAGTGCAGTGGAGCCGGGCTCTGAACACGTCATGTTCCGTCTTCTGTTTGGCCCTTCAGTCAAATTTTAGAACCCTATGTGGCCCCCGAGCCAAAAAGTTTGCCCACCTCTGGACTAGATATTGTAATGAGGAGGTGGAACGTTTATATTCCCAAAACTTTAAGGGACAGGAGTGCTACTTGAATGTGTAGAGAATGTGCAAATGTGCACATTTCTGTGGGACAGAGGCAGATAAATTAAGAAAGTAACCTTTTTAGAAATTATGCGATATTTTCAGTGAAGTACATGCCTCCACGAAATGAATGACTATAGTGTATGTCATGCAGGCTTAGGGTACGGTCATACAATTGAGACATTTCAAATGTTTATTCTCCACCTTTCCATGGACCAGGGGCAGATAAAGGAAGAAAGTAACACTTTCATCAATCATGATATTTCCAGTGAAGTACACACCTATAGGTGTGACTGGTGTATGGATTAGTATACCAAACACCAGAAGGGGACATGCCGTGCTCCTGTTGATCTGTTTCACTGTTTTACGGCACAGTTCTAATGGATAATACACATTTTGGAAGGGAAATAGTAACTAGAAGTTACTAGGTCAACTAACTGTAATCTAATTACTCAATTTTCAAATGTAACTAGTCACATTACTGTGTTACAACAAAGTAATCTGATTACAGTAATCCCTTAATTTGTAACTAGTAACTGCCCAACACTTGTCCTGGTTGGGTCCTAGTTCAGGGTGAGACCCCTTGACTCTTGTTTTAGTCCTGGTTTAATCCTGATCCAGTGCAAGGTTAAAAAACTATTGGTTTAGTCCTGGTTTAGTCCTGGTTTAGTCCTGGTTTAGTCCTGGTTTAGTCCTGGTTTAGTCCTGGTTTAGTCCTGGTGCACTATGTTCTGTACTTAACATTCACCTCTCTGTGTGTTCTGGCTGGTAGCACAGGCATCGTTTCATCCACCATTGCTAACAGCGTCCTCAGGGCCAAACCCACTTCCTATAAAACACAAATATATGAAAACACATTAGAACATTAAAACATTAAAACATTAAAACATTAGGCATCCATCAACATTACAACCACTGCCCGATGAACTCACTGTCATCATATAAATATTCATCATGGCACCTGCTGGTGGCTGGATTGTATTAACAACACAGCATTTTGTCCTTTTAAGAGGAATCACTAATCAGCAGTGATTTGAGTGATTATGACTTGAAGTGGGAAAATATATTGTCTTGATTATTTTCAGTGTAATCTACCAACAGTTGTTAAGGTGATATTTCTAGACTTTCTTATTTAATTGTACTGTCCATTAAAGGTGTACTATGTAACATTTTGCTTGGGGCTCAGTCACCTACTTGTTTCTATGGATATGTCATTGCTCTGTCTGGAATGTTCCACATTAAACAGCTCTACCTTACATTTATTCAATTATAAATGCTTTTATAACTAAACAAAACTTTGCTTTGTAAAAATAGGTGTACTTTACAAAGGCCGTTGAGCCTGTTTGCACAACTACTGCCCTCTAGTGGTCAGCATGGTTTTAACACAAGACAAGCTTCACAGGGCCATTTTATACTTCCACTGCCCAGGACTAATGTCCTTAAAAGAACTGTTATGTACAGAGTGATAGTGCTCTGGAACACACTCCCCCAAACTTTAATTGTTCACAAGAATGAACCAAGTTTTAAGAAAATGTTAAAGAAATATAATGAAAATTGTACTTAATTTTATTTAGTCACTAGTTATTCATTGTAATTTATTGGATATATTATAGTTCATGTTTATGATGTAATACTATAGAACAGGACTGTATGAACTTATGTGTCAGCTTCTTTTTTTTTTTTTTTTTTTTTTTTTTTAAATAATGGAACATTTTATGGTAAATTATGCCAGCTTGGGCCCCAGGAAGAAGTCTTTACTCCAGTGAAGACTAATGGGAATCCAATAAATAAATAAATAAATAAATAAATGGTATCATCTCTGAGATCAAGATATGATTGTTAATGATTAACTGAGATTAAGGAGCAGGACCAACTTCTCTTTAGTGAACAACACGTCTGATTAATCAAAAGCCTCTTTGTACCAACCTATCCCATCACCACAGTTTGTCTCAACTATTCCTGCTCTCTTGTTTGTCTTTCAGCCATGAGACATTAACAGAGGGGGGTCCTATATCAGCTGAGTTGAACACCTGAGACAGAGCCCCCATCTTGAGCCAGCCACCTCTACTTCATCTTATCATCATATTGTCCATCAATAAATATCTTCATTACATATATTGTTGGGGCACAGCTCTTGCTCATGAATCAAGTTTATTTACAGATTCAGATGGGCAGATATCTAAACCTAAAATATTTTATTCACTTTAAACTTGAGCCATGAGCAATGTGTGTCACTGTGACACTATGTCTTGTGGTTTTTTTTTTTTTTTTTTTTTTTTTTGTCTTTTGTGAAACCACATTCATACATGGCAATGTAGGTGAAGTGTCTTGCCTAAAGACACAACAACAGTTTTTTAACACTGGAGTCCTGCTGTGGCACCTGATTTTCCCAGCGGCCTCCAACCCATCCAAGTACCCAAGCCCAGCCCTGCTTAGCTTCTGAGATCTGATGAGATCAGACTATTGTATGTGTAGAGAATGTGCAGAATTGTCCTTTTGGGGCTCTTCAGTAAATGGACCAGTCTCACATACAACATTGAAAAAACGTGTTTTGCTATAGCATGTTATGTGTTGGGTATGGTCATGTAATTGAGACAATTCAATTGTTTATTCTCCACATTTCCATGGAAACAGGCTGATAAAGTAAGAAAGTAACCTTTTGAGCAATCATATGATATTTCCAGCAAAGTACACGCCAACAGGAAATGAATGACTATAGTGTCATGCAAGCGTTGGGCATTGTCATACAATTGAGACATTTCCATTTTTTACTCTCCACATTTCCATGAAACAGAGGCATGTAAAACAAGAAAGTAACACTTTCATCAATCATGATATTTCCAGTGAAGTACACACCTATAGGTGTGACTGGTGTATGGACTAGTATATAAAGAGCAGATCCTCGGGGTTGGACCACAGCAGAACTCATCTTCAATCTTGAACTTGAATTCAGTTCTTCACGCCTCCACATTTGGACTCAACAATAAGGTACATTTTTGTAACATTTATTACATACATTTTAATGAAACTCATAACTAATGGTTTGCTTTTCTTTTGCCTTTTTTATTTATTACATATTGTAGACAGCATGGCCCCTGTCATCACTGCCCTGGATGTTTCCACCAACACTGAAGAAGAGAAGGAGCTCCAGGCTAAAGGCTTCCATAAAATCCCTACAAATCTGAATGAAGGCATACCAGGTGCAGACAACATCTACCTGTGGTACCAAAAAGGAGACCAGCCTGCGGTCACCAGGGTTCAGGTCACATTCAACAAGGAAATGGAGGTCGGGCTCAAGGATTACGTCAAGATCGAGAAGAATCTAAACTCTGGTACCACTGGAGTTCCCATCTACATGTGGTACTCTAGGGCCGCTGGAACGTATGATGTCCCCATTGTAGATGTGACCGTTACCGCTCAAGCCAGCTCTGAGGCTAACTACCTGACCGCCAGGGGTGTGTGGGAGCAGGTGACCTGTAATCTGAATCTTGAAGCTGGAGGAAACTACGTGTACGCCTGGTTGAAAAGACAGAAGCCCATCTACATCTGTAACGTCACTGCCACTAACACCTACGACCGTGACGTGACTTTGTTCAACAACGGCTACACCCGAGTGGATGTGAACACCAACCTGAGAGCAGAGGGAGGGACTGAGGTCTTCATCTGGTACCGTAAGACCACAGACGAAGAGAGCAGCCTGTCTGCCCTCAACATCTCCACCAACGACAAGGAGTATGAAGATATGCAGAAGGCTGGTTTTAAGTTGGTGGACGTCAACCTGAATGAAAACACCAGTGGAGATCGTGTGTACCTGTGGCGAAAGACAGAGCCAGACCTAGATAAAGTCCGAGGCCTGGTCCTCCTGCTCAACATGAATGCTGTAGATTCATACAAAGCAGCTGGAATCAATGTCATAGAGAGAAGTCTGAACACAGGGAACCGTGGTGCCACTATTTACATGTGTCATGTTTAAAGTGCATCATTTAAGCAGGAAAAGCAGCGTATCATCAATGTGTGAGAATCTGCTCATACTGGACACAGTTGGAAACCAAAATGAATGTCTCCACTGTTCCTCTGAAGTATTGTATTGTCACCTGCTTTGAAATAAATCAAAAACAAACATGGCAGTGTCTTGGTTGTGATGTTTCTTTTCTTGTACAGTGACTCCAACACCTTCACTCATTGCTTATTCTCTTTACTCCTAAACCAGCTCACATCAGAGGAGACTGAAATGAGAACATTTACAACAGACCCCTCAGCCACCAGACTGCAGAATGGTCAGTCCACAGACACTCATTCAGTCACTAGGGGCAGTAGAGAGTTCAGTTTTCACAGTGTTTTATTGACTTTTGTGAGCTGACCAGAGTATTTGATTATCCTTGAAAATGCAAATAGTATAAAACAATGATTTGCTTTTTTACACCCACTGCTTTAAAACAATTAATTTGAATATAAAAGAATAAAGATTATGCCCATTTCATCCCGAATACTGTTTCAGGCCTTTAAATCTCATCTTCCTTATCATGTCAAAAATATATTTTATCTGCATATTCTTGATAACTTAAATTTAGTTTTCTTCAGTTTGTCCATATCTGAATGCAAAGAAGCAAAGTTAACATCAAAATATGACATATGAGACTGTACAGTAAATTATATACTATTCACATGAAAGACAGACACACAAACCTTGGAACTTAAGGCTGCAAATAATCATAATAATTAATAATGATATAAAAACACATTTAAACAACACTTCATTGTCTTCTTCGGGCATCCAGTTCTTGCATATTTGGAAAGTGTTTCAATGTCAGTGTCTCTTTTAGTCTTTTTCTGAGCCATTGAAGTCTGCAGAACTTTTAAAATGGATAAAAAAAAGAACAATTGGTGATTAATTCAATTCAATAGTCCATTGTTGTGGAGAGAAGCTTAGTTAAAATAAAGTACAAACATACAACTGAAACATAGGAAGTATTAAATGTTTTGAAGAGGCAAAGTATTTTGTGTCATTGTTCATCCATTGTTTCACTTGACTTTTCCCTTTGTCTTTTTGGATTTCACAAAATAAAAGTTCAAATGTCTGATCCTTTTAATGTGGGCGTGGCTGAGAAATCATCTTGAGTCGTGATTGGTCGATCACATCCAGTAAGTTCTTGGCATCAACTGCGAGAGCATGAGCTGCCATCAACATCTGCTTCTTATAGTCCTTTTGTAAACTGGAAAGAAAATGAAATAATTATGAATGAAAAGAAGAACATCACCAAGACAAAGACGATTTAGGTGGTTTTGACCAACCTCGTCATAACGTACTGCTGGGCCAGCTTCATCTTTGATATCAACTCTGCCAAGTCAGAGTTCAACAACTTCTGAGCCATCTCAATCTACAAAATGACAGAACATCATTAGCAGCATTCCTAAACTATAAACAAACTTTTACGCTGCTAAGTAACAAATTCATTCATTAATTGTTCTCAATCACATGCATTTTGTGCAGTTAATCACAGATTGTTCACACTCCCATTTTTTAGAAGTTTCTACATGTTTGTGCTGTTTTCATTCATGTTTAGGTTCAGAGGAGTCAAATGTGTCACATTTTGAGTCTTTTGTCTAACAAATTAAATTACTTCACTTCTGTGGAAGTTTGTCTGTCTGCTGCTTCTCTTTACTCACACTTGGAACAGTTCAGTCCAGTTTTGATCAGATTTTAATCTACTCTGAATACTTTATTTCAAAATTAATTAGATTACTGATCACTATAAATTACTTTGGGGAAAAAAGCAAGAATTCTTCACACTAATGACACTTTCTGTTATAGAGCCTCATTTCGAGCAGAGGCCACATGTACAGTCCTCCACAAACCAATATTTGTGTGGTTTTGTGTCACAGATCATCTGCCTCACCAAACACCAGAAGGGGACATGCCGTGCTCCTGTTGATCTGTTTCACTGTTTTCCGGCACAGTTCTAATGGATAATACACATTTTGGAAGGGAAATAGTAACTAGAAGTTACTAGGCCAACTAACTGTAATCTAATTACTCAATTTTCAAATGTAACTAGTCACATTACTGTGTTACAACAAAGTAATCTGATTACAGTAATCCCTTAATTTGTAACTAGTAACTGCCCAACACTTGTCCTGGTTGGGTCCTAGTTCAGGGTGAGACCCCTTGACTCTTGTTTTAGTCCTGGTTTAATCCTGATCCAGTGCAAGGTTAAAAAACTATTGGTTTAGTCCTGGTTTAGTCCTGGTTTAGTCCTGGTTTAGTCCTGGTGCACTATGTTCTGTACTTAACATTCACCTCTCTGTGTGTGCTGGCTGGTAGCACAGGCATCGTTTCATCCATCGTTGCTAACAGCGTCCTCAGGGCCAAACCCACTTCCTATAAAACACAAACATATGAAAACACATTAAAACATTAAAACATTAAAACATTAAAACATTAGGCATCCATCAACATTACAACCACTGCCTGATGAACTCACTGTCATCATATAAATATTCATCATGGCACCTGCTGGTGGCTGGATTGTATTAACAACACAGCATTTTGTCCTTTTAAGAGGAATCACTAATCAGCAGTGATTTGAGTGATTATGACTTGAAGTGGGAAAATATATTGTCTTGATGATTTTCAGTGTAATCTACCAACAGTTGTTAAGGTGATATTTCTAGACTTTCTTATTTAATTGTACTGTCCATTAAAGGTGTACTATGTAACATTTTGCTTGGGGCTCAGTCACCTACTTGTTTCTATGGATATGTCATTGCTCTGTCTGGAATGTTCCACATTAAACAGCTCTACCTTACATTTATTCAATTATAAATGCTTTTATAACTAAACAAAACTTTGCTTTGTAAAAATAGGTGTACTTTACAAAGGCCGTTGAGCCTGTTTGCACAACTACTGCCCTCTAGTGGTCAGCATGGTTTTAACACAAGACAAGCTTCACAGGGCCATTTTATACTTCCACTGCCCAGGACTAATGTCCTTAAAAGAACTGTTATGTACAGAGTGATAGTGCTCTGGAACACACTCCCCCAAACTTTAATTGTTCACAAGAATGAACCAACTTTTAAGAAAATGTTAAAGAAATATAATGAAAATTGTAATTAATTTTATTTAGTCACTAGTTATTCATTGTAATTTATTGGATATATTATAGTTCATGTTTATGATGTAATACTATAGAACAGGACTGTATGAACTTATGTGTCAGCTTTTCTTTTCTTTTTTTTTTTTTTTTTTAAATAATGGAACATTTTATGGTAAATTATGCCAGCTTGGGCCCCAGGAAGAAGTCTTTACTCCAGTGAAGACTAATGGGAATCCAATAAATAAATAAATAACATAAATAAATGGTATCATCTCTGAGATCAAGATATGATTGTTAATGATTAACTGAGATTAAGGAGCAGGACCAACTTCTCTTTAGTGAACAACACGTCTGATTAATCAAAAGCCTCTTTGTACCAACCTATCCCATCACCACAGTTTGTCTCAACTATTCCTGCTCTCTTGTTTGTCTTTCAGCCATGAGACATTAACAGAGGGGGGTCCTATATCAGCTGAGTTGAACACCTGAGACAGAGCCCCCATCTTGAGCCAGCCACCTCTACTTCATCTTATCATCATATTGTCCATCAATAAATATCTTCATTACATATATTGTTGGGGCACAGCTCTTGCTCATGAATCAAGTTTATTTACAGATTCAGATGGGCAGATATCTAAACCTAAAATATTTTATTCACTTTAAACTTGAGCCATGAGCAATGTGTGTCACTGTGACACTATGTCTTATGTTTTTTTGGGGTTTTTTTTGTCTTTTGTCAAACCACTTTCATACATGGCAATGTAGGTGAAGTGTCTTGCCTAAAGACACAACAACAGTTTTTTAACACTGGAGTCCTGCTGTGGCACCTGATTTTCCCAGCGGCCTCCAACCCATCCAAGTACCCAAGCCCAGCCCTGCTTAGCTTCTGAGATCTGATGAGATCAGACTATTGTATGTGTAGAGAATGTGCAAAATTGTCCTTTTGGGGCTCTTCAGTAAATGGACCAGTCTCACATACAACATTGAAAAAACGTGTTTTGCTATAGCATGTTATGTGTTGGGTATGGTCATGTAATTGAGACAATTCAATTGTTTATTCTCCACATTTCCATGGAAACAGGCTGATAAAGTAAGAAAGTAACCTTTTGAGCAATCATATGATATTTCCAGCAAAGTACACGCCAACAGGAAATGAATGACTATAGTGTCATGCAAGCGTTGGGCATTGTCATACAATTGAGACATTTCAACTTTTTACTCTCCACATTTCCATGAAACAGAGGCATGTAAAGTAAGAAAGTAACACTTTCATCAATCATGATATTTCCAGTGAAGTACACACCTATAGGTGTGACTGGTGTATGGACTAGTATATAAAGAGCAGATCCTCGGGGTTGGACCACAGCAGAACTCATCTTCAATCTTGAACTTGAATTCAGTTCTTCACGCCTCCACATTTGGACTCAACAATAAGGTACATTTTTGTAACATTTATTACATACATTTTAATGAAACTCATAACTAATGGTTTGCTTTTCTTTTGCCTTTTTTATTTATTACATATTGTAGACAGCATGGCCCCTGTCATCACTGCCCTGGATGTTTCCACCAACACTGAAGAAGAGAAGGAGCTCCAGGCTAAAGGCTTCCATAAAATCCCTACAAATCTGAATGAAGGCATACCAGGTGCAGACAACATCTACCTGTGGTACCAAAAAGGAGACCAGCCTGCGGTCACCAGGGTTCAGGTCACATTCAACAAGGAAATGGAGGTCGGGCTCAAGGATTACGTCAAGATCGAGAAGAATCTAAACTCTGGTACCACTGGAGTTCCCATCTACATGTGGTACTCTAGGGCCGCTGGAACGTATGATGTCCCCATTGTAGATGTGACCGTTACCGCTCAAGCCAGCTCTGAGGCTAACTACCTGACCGCCAGGGGTGTGTGGGAGCAGGTGACCTGTAATCTGAATCTTGAAGCTGGAGGAAACTACGTGTACGCCTGGTTGAAAAGACAGAAGCCCATCTACATCTGTAACGTCACTGCCACTAACACCTACGACCGTGACGTGACTTTGTTCAACAACGGCTACACCCGAGTGGATGTGAACACCAACCTGAGAGCAGAGGGAGGGACTGAGGTCTTCATCTGGTACCGTAAGACCACAGACGAAGAGAGCAGCCTGTCTGCCCTCAACATCTCCACCAACTACAAGGAGTATGAAGATATGCAGAAGGCTGGTTTTAAGTTGGTGGACGTCAACCTGAATGAAAACACTAGTGGAGATCCTGTGTACCTGTGGCGAAAGACAGAGCCAGACATATATAAAGTCCGAGGCCTGGTCCTCCTGCTCAACATGAATGCTGTAGATCCATACAAAGCAGCTGGAATCAATGTCATAGAGAGAAGTCTGAACACAGGGAACCGTGGTGCCACTATTTACATGTGTCATGTTTAAAGTGCATCATTTAAGCAGGAAACGCAGCGTATATCATCAATGTGTGAGAATCTGCTCATACTGGACACAGTTGGAAACCAAAATGAATGTCTCCACTGTTCCTCTGAAGTATTGTATTGTCACCTGCTTTGAAATAAATCAAAAACAAACATGGCAGTGTCTTGGTTGTGATGTTTCTTTTCTTGTACAGTGACTCCAACACCTTCACTCATTGCTTATTCTCTTTACTCCTAAACCAGCTCACATCAGAGGAGACTGAAATGAGAACATTTACAACAGACCCCTCAGCCACCAGACTGCAGAATGGTCAGTCCACAGACACTCATTCAGTCACTAGGGGCAGTAGAGAGTTCAGTTTTCACAGTGTTTTATTGACTTTTGTGAGCTGACCAGAGTATTTGATTATCCTTGAAAATGCAAATAGTATAAAACAATGATTTGCTTTTTTACACCCACTGCTTTAAAACAATTAATTTGAATATAAAAGAATAAAGATTATGCCCATTTCATCCCGAATACTGTTTCAGGCCTTTAAATCTCTTCTTCCTTATCATGTCAAAAATATATTTTATCTGCATATTCTTGATAACTTGAATTATGTTTGCTTCTTTGCATTCAGATATGGACAAACTGAAGCAAAGTTAACATCAAAATATGACATATGAGACTGTACAGTAAATTATATACTATTCACATGAAAGACAGACACAAACCTTGGAACTTAAGGCTGCAAATAATCATAATAATTAATAATGATATAAAAACACATTTAAACAACACTTCATTCTCTTCTTCGGGCATCCAGTTCTTGCATATTTGGATATATTTGTGTGGTTTTGTGTCACAGATCATCTGCCTCACCAAACACCAGAAGGGGACATGCTGTGCTCCTGTTGATCTGTTTCACTGTTTTCCGGCACAGTTCTAATGGATAATACACATTTTGGAAGGGAAATAGTAACTAGAAGTTACTAGGCCAACTAACTGTAGTCTAGTTACTCAAATTTTCAAATGTAACTAGTCACATTACTCTGTTACAACAAAGTAATCTGATTACAGTAATCCCTTAATTTGTAACTAGTAACTGCCCAACACTTGTCCTGGTTGGGTCCTAGTTCAGGGTGAGACCCCTTGACTCTTGTTTTAGTCCTGGTTTAATCCTGATCCAGTGCAAGGTTAAAAAACTATTGGTTTAGTCCTGGTTTAGTCCTGGTTTAGTCCTGGTTTAGTCCTGGTTTAGTCCTGGTTTAGTCCTGGTTTAGTCCTGGTGCACTATGTTCTGTACTTAACATTCACCTCTCTGTGTGTGCTGGCTGGTAGCACAGGCATCGTTTCATCCATCGTTGCTAACAGCGTCCTCAGGGCCAAACCCACTTCCTATAAAACACAAACATATGAAAACACATTAAAACATTAAAACATTAAAACATTAGGCATCCATCAACATTACAACCACTGCCCGATGAACTCACTGTCATCATATAAATATTCATCATGGCACCTGCTGGTGGCTGGATTGTATTAACAACACAGCATTTTGTCCTTTTAAGAGGAATCACTAATCAGCAGTGATTTGAGTGATTATGACTTGAAGTGGGAAAATATATTGTCTTGATGATTTTCAGTGTAATCTACCAACAGTTGTTAAGGTGATATTTCTAGACTTTCTTATTTAATTGTACTGTCCATTAAAGGTGTACTATGTAACTTTTTGCTTGGGGCTCAGTCACCTACTTGTTTCTATGGATATGTCATTGCTCTGTCTGGAATGTTCCACATTAAACAGCTCTACCTTACATTTATTCAATTATAAATGCTTTTATAACTAAACAAAACTTTGCTTTGTAAAAATAGGTGTACTTTACAAAGGCCGTTGAGCCTGTTTGCACAACTACTGCCCTCTAGTGGTCAGCATGGTTTTAACACAAGACAAGCTTCACAGGGCCATTTTATACTTCCACTGCCCAGGACTAATGTCCTTAAAAGAACTGTTATGTACAGAGTGATAGTGCTCTGGAACACACTCCCCCAAACTTTAATTGTTCACAAGAATGAACCAACTTTTAAGAAAATGTTAAAGAAATATAATGAAAATTGTAATTAATTTTATTTAGTCACTAGTTATTCATTGTAATTTATTGGATATATTATAGTTCATGTTTATGATGTAATACTATAGAACAGGACTGTATGAACTTATGTGTCAGCTTCCTTTTCTTTTTTTTTTTCTTTTTTTTAAATAATGGAACATTTTATGGTAAATTATGCCAACTTGGGCCCCAGGAAGAAGTCTTTACTCCAGTGAAGACTAATGGGAATCCAATAAATAAATAAATAAATAAATAAATGGTATCATCTCTGAGATCAAGATATGATTGTTAATGATTAACTGAGATTAAGGAGCAGGACCAACTTCTCTTTAGTGAACAACACGTCTGATTAATCAAAAGCCTCTTTGTACCAACCTATCCCATCACCACAGTTTGTCTCAACTATTCCTGCTCTCTTGTTTGTCTTTCAGCCATGAGACATTAACAGAGGGGGGTCCTATATCAGCTGAGTTGATCACCTGAGACAGAGCCCCCATCTTGAGCCAGCCACCTCTACTTCATCTTATCATCATATTGTCTATCAATAAATATCTTCATTACATATATTGTTGGGGCACATTTTCACATTCATACATGGCAATGTAGGTGAAGTGTCTTGCCTAAAGACACAACAACAGTTTTTTTAACACTGGAGTCCTGCTGTGGCACCTGATTTTCCCAGCGGCCTCCAACCCATCCAAGTACCCAAGCCCAGCCCTGCTTAGCTTCTGAGATCTGATGAGATCAGACTATTGTATGTGTAGAGAATGTGCAAAATTGTCCTTTTGGGGCTCTTCAGTAAATGGACCAGTCTCACATACAACATTGAAAAAACGTGTTTTGCTATAGCATGTTATGTGTTGGGTATGGTCATGTAATTGAGACAATTCAATTGTTTATTCTCCACATTTCCATGGAAACAGGCTGATAAAGTAAGAAAGTAACCTTTTGAGCAATCATATGATATTTCCAGCAAAGTACACGCCAACAGGAAATGAATGACTATAGTGTCATGCAAGCGTTGGGCATTGTCATACAATTGAGACATTTCAACTTTTTACTCTCCACATTTCCATGAAACAGAGGCATGTAAAGTAAGAAAGTAACACTTTCATCAATCATGATATTTCCAGTGAAGTACACACCTATAGGTGTGACTGGTGTATGGACTAGTATATAAAGAGCAGATCCTCGGGGTTGGACCACAGCAGAACTCATCTTCAATCTTGAACTTGAATTCAGTTCTTCACGCCTCCACATTTGGACTCAACAACAAGGTACATTTTTGTAACATTTATTACATACATTTTGATGAAACTCATAACTAATGGTTTGCTTTTCTTTTGCCTTTTTTATTTATTACATATTGTAGACAGCATGGCCCCTGTCATCACTGCCCTGGATGTTTCCACCAACACTGAAGAAGAGAAGGAGCTCCAGGCTAAAGGCTTCCATAAAATCCCTACAAATCTGAATGAAGGCATACCAGGTGCAGACAACATCTACCTGTGGTACCAAAAAGGAGACCAGCCTGCGGTCACCAGGGTTCAGGTCACATTCAACAAGGAAATGGAGGTCGGGCTCAAGGATTACGTCAAGATCGAGAAGAATCTAAACTCTGGTACCACTGGAGTTCCCATCTACATGTGGTACTCTAGGGCCGCTGGAACGTATGATGTCCCCATTGTAGATGTGACCGTTACCGCTCAAGCCAGCTCTGAGGCTAACTACCTGACCGCCAGGGGTGTGTGGGAGCAGGTGACCTGTAATCTGAATCTTGAAGCTGGAGGAAACTACGTGTACGCCTGGTTGAAAAGACAGAAGCCCATCTACATCTGTAACGTCACTGCCACTAACACCTACGACCGTGACGTGACTTTGTTCAACAACGGCTACACCCGAGTGGATGTGAACACCAACCTGAGAGCAGAGGGAGGGACTGAGGTCTTCATCTGGTACCGTAAGACCACAGACGAAGAGAGCAGCCTGTCTGCCCTCAACATCTCCACCAACTACAAGCAGTATGAAGATATGCAGAAGGCTGGTTTTAAGTTGGTGGACGTCAACCTGAATGAAAACACTAGTGGAGATCCTGTGTACCTGTGGCATAAGACAGAGGCAGACCTAGATAAAGTCCGAGGCCTGGTCCTCCTGCTCAACATGAATGCTGTAGATTCATACAAAGCAGCTGGAATCAATGTCATAGAGAGAAGTCTGAACTCAGGGAACCGTGGTGCCACTATTTACATGTGTCATGTTTAAAGTGCATCATTTAAGCAGGAAAAGCAGCGTCTCATCAATGTGTGAGAATCTGCTCATACTGGACACAGTTGGAAACCAAAATGAATGTCTCCACTGTTCCTCTGAAGTATTGTATTGTCACCTGCTTTGAAATAAATCAAAAACAAACATGGCAGTGTCTTGGTTGTGATGTTTCTTTTCTTGTACAGTGACTCCAACACCTTCACTCATTGCTTATTCTCTTTACTCCTAAACCAGCTCACATCAGAGGAGACTGAAATGAGAACATTTACAACAGACCCCTCAGCCACCAGACTGCAGAATGGTCAGTCCACAGACACTCATTCAGTCACTAGGGGCAGTAGAGAGTTCAGTTTTCACAGTGTTTTATTGACTTTTGTGAGCTGACCAGAGTATTTGATTATCCTTGAAAATGCAAATAGTATAAAACAATGATTTGCTTTTTACACCCACTGCTTTAAAACAATTAATTTGAATATAAAAGAATAAAGATTATGCCCATTTCATCCTGAATACTGTTTCAGGCCTTTAAATCTCATCTTCCTTATCATGTCAAAAATATATTTTATCTGCATATTCTTGATAACTTGAATTATGTTTGCTTCTTTGCATTCAGATATGGACAAACTGAAGCAAAGTTAACATCAAAATATGACATATGAGACTGTACAGTAAATTATATACTATTCACATGAAAGACAGACACACAAACCTTGGAACTTAAGGCTGCAAATAATCATAATAATTAATAATGATATAAAAACACATTTAAACAACACTTCATTCTCTTCTTCGGGCATCCAGTTCTTGCATATTTTGATATATTTGTGTGGTTTTGTGTCACAGATCATCTGCCTCACCAAACACCAGAAGGGGACATGCTGTGCTCCTGTTGATCTGTTTCACTGTTTTCCGGCACAGTTCTAATGGATAATACACATTTTGGAAGGGAAATAGTAACTAGAAGTTACTAGGTCAACTAACTGTAGTCTAGTTACTCAAATTTTCAAATGTAACTAGTCACATTACTCTGTTACAACAAAGTAATCTGATTACAGTAATCCCTTACTTTGTAACTAATAACTGCCCAACACTTGTCCTGGTTGGGTCCTAGTTCAGGGTGAGACCCCTTGACTCTTGTTTTAGTCCTGGTTTAATCCTGATCCAGTGCAAGGTTAAAAAACTATTGGTTTAGTCCTGGTTTAGTCCTGGTTTAGTCCTGGTTTAGTCCTGGTTTAGTCCTGGTTTAGTCCTGGTTTAGTCCTGGTGCACTATGTTCTGTACTTAACATTCACCTCTCTGTGTGTTCTGGCTGGTAGCACAGGCATCGTTTCATCCATTGTTGCTAACAGCGTCCTCAGGGCCAAACCCACTTCCTATAAAACACAAACATATGAAAACACATTAAAACATTAAAACATTAGGCATCCATCAACATTACAACCACTGCCTGATGAACTCACTGTCATCATATAAATATTCATCATGGCACCTGCTGGTGGCTGGATTGTATTAACAACACAGCATTTTGTCCTTTTAAGAGGAATCACTAATCAGCAGTGATTTGAGTGATTATGACTTGAAGTGGGAAAATATATTGTCTTGATGATTTTCAGTGTAATCTACCAACAGTTGTGTAACGTAGGTTGACCGTGAGCGGCTTGGGGTTCAGTGGGCAAGGTAAAAAAACAAATCCAGACACAGACCGGTACAAGTGGTCCACAGTTTACTTTTGTTTTTTCAATGATTACAAAAGTGCAAGTGCAAAAAGTGCAGGGTGCAAAACGGAGGCAGGCAGCAGTTTCCTCTCCAGCAGCAGAACACAGACTGATCTTGAAGGCGCCTTTTATGCCGGTCCTACTGATTGGATAAAACCACTATGCTAAAACAGGGATGGTTAAAATTATCATTAGCGTAAAATTAAAACCTAAACCTCCATAAAACAACCCAAAACCCAGATAACTATTAAAACCACCAACTATATACATAAAACCCTAAAACCATTACACCAATTAAATGTTAAAACCCATAAACCAATAAAATACCTAACCTAAAACCCCTGTACAAAATGTTACACGTGGTCCAGCCCGGAACCATAAAAGAGGGAGCTCGTTTCCGGGGACTCTTTTCACACCTGGACAGAAGATAAAAAGGGGAGGTAAGTAAAAGCAGATCCACCATTCATTAAAACACAATAAAATACACTAAACACATCAACACTTAAAACATTCTAAAACAGATATTGCACCATATTTATTGCACAAAGTCAATTTAAAATGTAATTTATTATTGTCTCCCTTTTCCTCCAGGGACAAGCAACTTCCAATTAAAGTGCTGTGCCTCAGGAATAAAAAATGGTTAAAGGAAAGCAATAAATATTTTTCAAAACCAATTGTGTGCAATTTATTTTGTGATGTGCAAATATGTTAAAAGTGCTGTGTGCTAGGAAATTGTAGTGTTTTAAAGTGCTTTAGTGAAGGGTGAAGGTGCTAAGTGTGGTTCTGGGGTAACAAACCAGCCTGTTTGTTACAAGTTGTTAAGGTGATATTTCTAGACTTTCTTATTTAATTGTACTGTCCATTAAAGGTGTACTATGTAACTTTTTGCTTGGGGCTCAGTCACCTACTTGTTTCTATGGATATGTCATTGCTCTGTCTGGAATGTTCCACATTAAACAGCTCTACCTTACATTTATTCAATTATAAATGCTTTTATAACTAAACAAAACTTTGCTTTGTAAAAATACGTGTACTTTACAAAGGCCGTTGAGCCTGTTTGCACAACTACTGCCCTCTAGTGGTCAGCATGGTTTTAACACAAGACAAGCTTCACAGGGCCATTTTATACTTCCACTGCCCAGGACTAATGTCCTTAAAAGAACTGTTATGTACAGAGTGATAGTGCTCTGGAACACACTCCCCCAAACTTTAATTGTTCACAAGAATGAACCAACTTTTAAGAAAATTTAAAGAAATATAATGAAAATTGTACTTAATTTTATTTAGTCACTAGTTATTCATTGTAATTTATTGGATATATTATAGTTCATGTTTATGATGTAATACTATAGAACAGGACTGTATGAACTTATGTGTCAGCTTTTTTTTTTTTTTTTTTTTTTTTATAATGGAACATTTTATGGTAAATTATGCCAGCTTGGGCCCCAGGAAGAAGTCTTTACTCCAGTGAAGACTAATGGGAATCCAATAAATAAATAAATAAATACATAAATAAATGGTATCATCTCTGAGATCAAGATATGATTGTTAATGATTAACTGAGATTAAGGAGCAGGACCAACTTCTCTTTAGTGAACAACACGTCTGATTAATCAAAAGCCTCTTTGTACCAACCTATCCCATCACCACAGTTTGTCTCAACTATTCCTGCTCTCTTGTTTGTCTTTCAGCCATGAGACATTAACAGAGGGGGGTCCTATATCAGCTGAGTTGATCACCTGAGACAGAGCCCCCATCTTGAGCCAGCCACCTCTACTTCATCTTATCATCATATTGTCTATAAATAAATATCTTCATTACATATATTGTTGGGGCACGGCTCTTGCTCATGAATCAAGTTTATTTATAGATTCAGATGAGTAGACATCTAAACCTAAAAATATATAATTTATTGTAAACTTGAGTCATGAGCAATGTGTGTCACTGTGACACTATGGCATGCTTTTTTTGTCTTTCTGCTATTACATGTTGTGTGTTGGGTCGGGACAGTATGCCTTTGATTTTTGCTATGTTTTTTAGATTGTAAAAATCTTCAGATGTTATTGATTTGATGTGGCTGTTAACTTCAAGTCTGAGTCCATTATTAACCCTACATTTCTAACCTGATTTGAAGGTTTTAGAGAGAGAGACTGGAGGTGACTGTTGACACCTCCTCTTTGTTTCTGTGAGCCCAAGACGATGACTTTAGTCTTATCTGAGTTTAGCTGGAAAAAGTTGTTTTGCATCCACACACTGATCTCCGACCATCACCACCACTCACGCTCACACCACTTTCATACAGGGCAATGTAGATGAAGTGTCTTGCCTGACGACACAACAACAGTTTGTTAACACTGGAGCCCCCCTGTGGAATCTGATTTTCCCAGCAGTCTCCCATCCAAGTACTCACGCCCAGCCCTGCTTAGATTCTGAGATCTGACGAGATCAGGCTTTGACAAGGAGTTTGCTGCGTATTAACCGACCTAACAGCAGCATGTAGAGACTGAACAAAAGGGGTCCCAGGATTGACCTCTGGGGCACCGCACAAGCTGTGGTTTTCAAATTAAGAGATACCATTTACCTTTTGTTTAGTAGTCAATTCTAGGGCTGAAATTATCCAAATGATTCTAGTGAAGGTGTATGGAGTTCTGCAGGACTTCAGATATGATTTTCTCATCTATTTTTGAACATACCTTTGATGCATCATTTAATGTTTCATCCTTCAATTTACAGTAGCTTTTGTACTTACTCCTTGTAGTTTAATATTTCTTGAGTAATTTCTGGACATTTACTTTGTACTTCTGCTTGAGTAATAGTTTTTTGTTGTTTTTTTTATTGTTTTGTTTTGTTTTTAAGTAGCAATACGAATACTTAAGTACAATTTTTGGCTACTCTATCCAAGATTCGTTATCCAAAAGTGCTTACACAGTGAATTATGCCTGATACAGAAGTAAGATCATGTGAAAAGTTTTGAGCTGATTTTTAAAATACAGGAACACATTTAATTATTAACCCCCTGTAGTACTTCCTCTGAACTACAAAGGAATGTGTGCTATGAAATTGAATGATGTATTTAACTGTAAGTGGAGTAATATCTGAGACCAATGTTCAAGAGTATTTTCAGAATAGCATAGTGGTACTGTGTCCTGCTGTAAAAATCCTGTGAAACTGTCCCTCCCGCTTGTTCACAGGAATAATAAATAATGATAATACATAATAGTACTTTACAAAAAGATCATTACAAAGTGTTTACAAGATAATATAAACATTTGAAACTACCAGAGAGTGATAAAGAGCTCTTTTATAAAGGAGCTTGATAGTTAAAGAGCTTCAAAGGTGGTTAAAATACTTTTAAAATCAATGATAACGTATCAGTCGCCAATGGAGGGAGGAAAGCACAGGAGAAATGGATTGAAGTCTTGTGCTTGTTTATTCTAGCAGCTGTATTTTGGATTAACTGAAGGTGATCACAGTATTTTGAGATGATTCCTGAGTAAAGGCTGTTGCAGTGTAACAAACATGGCAGTGTCTTGGTTGTGATGTTTCTTTTCTTGTACAGTGACTCCAACACCTTCACTCATTGCTTATTCTCTTTACTCCTAAACCAGCTCACATCAGAGGAGACTGAAATGAGAACATTTACAACAGACCCCTCAGCCACCAGACTGCAGAATGGTCAGTCCACAGACACTCATTCAGTCACTAGGGGCAGTAGAGAGTTCAGTTTTCACAGTGTTTTATTGACTTTTGTGAGCTGACCAGAGTATTTGATTATCCTTGAAAATGCAAATAGTATAAAACAATGATTTGCTTTTTTACACCCACTGCTTTAAAACAATTAATTTGAATATAAAAGAATAAAGATTATGCCCATTTCATCCCGAATACTGTTTCAGGCCTTTAAATCTCATCTTCCTTATCATGTCAAAAATATATTTTATCTGCATATTCTTGATAACTTAAATTTAGTTTTCTTCAGTTTGTCCATATCTGAATGCAAAGAAGCAAAGTTAACATCAAAAATATGACATATGAGACTGTACAGTAAATTATATACTATTCACATGAAAGACAGACACACAAACCTTGGAACTTAAGGCTGCAAATAATCATAATAATTAATAATGATATAAAAAACACATTTAAACAACACTTCATTGTCTTCTTCGGGCATCCAGTTCTTGCATATTTGGAAAGTGTTTCAATGTCAGTGTCTCTTTTAGTCTTTTTCTGAGCCATTGAAGTCTGCAGAACTTTTAAAATGGATAAAAAAAAGAACAATTGGTGATTAATTCAATTCAATAGTCCATTGTTGTGGAGAGAAGCTTAGTTAAAATAAAGTACAAACATACAACTGAAACATAGGAAGTATTAAATGTTTTGAAGAGGCAAAGTATTTTGTGTCATTGTTCATCCATTGTTTCACTTGACTTTTCCCTTTGTCTTTTTGGATTTCACAAAATAAAAGTTCAAATGTCTGATCCTTTTAATGTGGGCGTGGCTGAGAAATCATCTTGAGTCGTGATTGGTCGATCACATCCAGTAAGTTCTTGGCATCAACTGCGAGAGCATGAGCTGCCATCAACATCTGCTTCTTATAGTCCTTTTGTAAACTGGAAAGAAAATGAAATAATTATGAATGAAAAGAAGAACATCACCAAGACAAAGACGATTTAGGTGGTTTTGACCAACCTCGTCATAACGTACTGCTGGGCCAGCTTCATCTTTGATATCAACTCTGCCAAGTCAGAGTTCAACAACTTCTGAGCCATCTCAATCTACAAAATGACAGAACATCATTAGCAGCATTCCTAAACTATAAACAAACTTTTACGCTGCTAAGTAACAAATTCATTCATTAATTGTTCTCAATCACATGCATTTTGTGCAGTTAATCACAGATTGTTCACACTCCCATTTTTTTAGAAGTTTCTACATGTTTGTGCTGTTTTCATTCATGTTTAGGTTCAGAGGAGTCAAATGTGTCACATTTTGAGTCTTTTGTCTAACAAATTAAATTACTTCACTTCTGTGGAAGTTTGTCTGTCTGCTGCTTCTCTTTACTCACACTTGGAACAGTTCAGTCCAGTTTTGATCAGATTTTAATCTACTCTGAATACTTTATTTCAAAATTAATTAGATTACTGATCACTATAAATTACTTTGGGGAAAAAAGCAAGAATTCTTCACACTAATGACACTTTCTGTTATAGAGCCTCATTTCGAGCAGAGGCCACATGTACAGTCCTCCACAAACCAATATTTGTGTGGTTTTTGTGTCACAGATCATCTGCCTCACCAAACACCAGAAGGGGACATGCCGTGCTCCTGTTGATCTGTTTCACTGTTTTCCGGCACAGTTCTAATGGATAATACACATTTTGGAAGGGAAATAGTAACTAGAAGTTACTAGGCCAACTAACTGTAATCTAATTACTCAATTTTCAAATGTAACTAGTCACATTACTGTGTTACAACAAAGTAATCTGATTACAGTAATCCCTTAATTTGTACCTAGTAACTGCCCAACACTTGTCCTGGTTGGGTCCTAGTTCAGGGTGAGACCCCTTGACTCTTGTTTTAGTCCTGGTTTAATCCTGATCCAGTGCAAGGTTAAAAAACTATTGGTTTAGTCCTGGTTTAGTCCTGGTTTAGTCCTGGTTTAGTCCTGGTTTAGTCCTGGTTTAGTCCTGGTTTAGTCCTGGTGCACTATGTTCTGTACTTAACATTCACCTCTCTGTGTGTGCTGGCTGGTAGCACAGGCATCGTTTCATCCACCGTTGCTAACAGCGTCCTCAGGGCCAAACCCACTTCCTATAAAACACAAACATATGAAAACACATTAAAACATTAAAACATTAAAACATTAGGCATCCATCAACATTACAACCACTGCCCGATGAACTCACTGTCATCATATAAATATTCATCATGGCACCTGCTGGTGGCTGGATTGTATTAACAACACAGCATTTTGTCCTTTTAAGAGGAATCACTAATCAGCAGTGATTTGAGTGATTATGACTTGAAGTGGGAAAATATATTGTCTTGATGATTTTCAGTGTAATCTACCAACAGTTGTTAAGGTGATATTTCTAAACGTCCTTATTTAATTGTACTGTCCATTAAAGGTGTACTATGTAACTTCTTGGTATGTCATTGCTCTGTCTGGTATGTTCCACAGTATGACATTAAACAGCTTTACCTTACATTTATTAAATTACAGTTGCTTTTACACAGGGGAAAAAATCATTTTCTTTGTTTATTGTGATTGGTGGAAATAAGTCATTATCAATAGACAAATAGTTATGCCTGATTACTATAGCCTCACAAATGTAACATAAACTTGTGCTTTACCTTGACCATGGGCACGTACTCCTCTGGGGCGGCCGGCTGGATCCTGTTGGACATTTCGATCACAGCTTTTACCAAACCGGTTACATTCTCGTACACTTTATCATTGGACCGGTCCAGGTTGGCTGTGGGAGGTGGACTGATCTCCTGAGGTTGTAACTAGACCCACAGAAAACAAAAATATTGATTTTACTTTAAATTTAGTTTGTGAACGAAATTTATTGTTGAATTCAGCACTATTTAGTTTTTTTTTTAAAGACACCATTGTAGTTAAATCAGCACAACACTAGAGGTCAGCCGCTCTCTAACAACTATATAGTCGTAACACAAAACTAGTCTATATCAGTATTACTATTTTGCTACTTTGTTAAGATGTTAGTGATCATAGAAAAATCTAACTAACAAAGGCCCCATATTACGACTACTGTCTGATCTATGTTATATTATGTTGTTTTCTCATCGCAAACCTACCTAGAGTTATGTTTTGTTTTATTCACGATTCTTTAACACAGAAATCCTGCATATTTAGGCTGTTTTCTTTGCTCAAACTGAAAACCAGCCTTGTGATGTCATATGGTGATACAACAAGTGCTCCATTGGGTTTTTAAACTCTCTCAATCTCTACTGATCAAAAGGCAAAATGTAGCTGTTAACCTGAAATCTACCACTACATGACATGGCAAGGTGGAACAAAACATTTTGAGCTTTGGAGATATAGTCAGACTAATAATAAAGGATTACTCAAATGTATGAATGAAACAAAACACAACTCCAGGTATACTTTTTAGGACATAACAACATTCTAGCATGGCTTAAAACACAAGTTTCAACGTTGCATAATATAGGCCCTTTAAGTACAATCCCATGTGCTGATCTGGTAGGAGCATCTGCATTACAATTGTTATTAAATTATTAAAAACGGTGTTATTTAATTAATTTAGTCTTTGTCAGCTAAAATATGACACTGACAAAAATAAAAGCAAAACAAAAAACATTTAGCTAACAAAATTACCACTAATTAAAGCAGAGCCCTACATGAAACAGCATGCTGGATATTTTGGTACATTATAACATCTTATTTTCTTTACCAAAGAAAGTAAACCATAACACCACCTTTGTTTATTTATGCATTTACTTTATTTTTTTATTAATAACAAGGACAGGCTTTGGGGCTCTCACTGGTAAAGAAAATTGCTATCAGCTACAAGGTACTTAGTTACGCTGTCTATTAATATAACAACACTCACACACAGACATGTGCTTACCCTCCATGGCTTTAGGGGGTGAGAGAGGTCGGGAGTGGGGGGTTTGGGGAGAGTTTTTTTTTTAAGAAGGTGGAAGCAAAATTGGATGTAAAAAGAATAGAGGGGTGTTAATGTTTACAGCAGGGGGAGGAAGTGCAGGGAGGAGAAGAAGAAGAACACATTAGGCCAAAGCAAACCACCAAAACATGCAGCATCAGCACAGAGAAAAATGGACAAAAGAAAAAAAACAAAAAACATGCTTCCAGTCAGTGTCACTAAATAAATCCTTGTGAATTGTAGGACTTTCAAAAGTATCGAAACTCAGATACTAATCTATACTAAAACTAGTGTTGAAACCGGAAATTAATTTGAGCTAGTATCAACATTAAAAAGTCGCATTAACAGGGCATAAATGAACCTTTCCTGAGTAGCTTTAGAATGATCTTGAGCTGTAGCAGAGCAAGTGAAAGACCACATAGACTCCCATTAACCATTTTTGACGAGGGGATTACAAAAACCACAGGGATTGTCACAAGTATTGAAAATCAGACTCTAATCAATACTAAAACCAGTATTGAAAATAGCTACTCATTTTAACAAGTATCAATAGAGATATAGATAGATGGTTGTTGCAAACCATGGCAACTAGTGCACAGATCTAAATGTAAATGATCTTTATATAAGCACATACCTTCACCCCTTCGTTGTAACTCTCGACAGGTGCCAGGCTGGTCAGGTTGGTCAGGTGACCCGGAGCTCCAGGACGGGGAGGCTTTTTTGGAGGAGCTGCAGGTTCTGAAACGTCACGCCAATATATCCATTTACAATCAAATACTACAAAACATATTAAAAGTTTTCTAGTGGTGTCAAAAACCTGTTCATTTTTATGGCTTTCAAATGCATTTTTGTCAAATAAAAAATAATAAATGGTTACTGAAAGGGCTTGCCTCTAAACAGATCTAACCTGCCCTACTGTGGAACATAATTATTCACATTCACTAGGGATGTAACAATAACTGAAATATCGTGATATCATATTGTTAAAAGTTCTCACAATAATATCATGAACCATCACAAAATAGCGAATTAGAAGTCTCTTTGCTTAAATTAAGTGTTATGATGCAGCAATAGCTAAAAAAAAAGACAGAGGGAACCATAGACCATGATCCTTCACTCCCTTTCTGTGTAGACTACAAGACGAAATAACAGTTCTAAGCACTTTTAAGTCTTAGTTCTTTGGATTAAGTCTTGTCAAGGCATATCGTTCGTTTCGTTAGCCTCCACAAAATATCACAATAAATATCGTATCATGAGATGTATATGGTGAAAATATCTTACAGAGAGATTTGGATATTGTTACATCCCTAATCGTGAGCCTCCCCACCATACCGTAAGCTTTCCTATGATATCGCAATAAATATCGTACGGTGAGGTTCATACCGTGACAATATTGTATCGTGAAACTTGGATATCGTTACACCCCTAACATTCACACATTGTAATGTTCTGACTACAAAACTAGCAACTGACTTATATAAACTATCCAGAGACACAAATCTGCAAATGCATGTGTAGAAGAAAACCACTTTGAGAAAAAAAGTATATATGTATTTTTTAATTTATATTGTATTTAACACACCATTGTAATGTAATATTATTAATGAAAATGGCCTCTTAGTTCTTACCGGGTTTCCCAATAGGCTGATAGATATGTTGACTTCCACCCTGTACAAAAACAAACAGACAAATGCATGAAAAACACAAGAGTAGTTACAGCAGCAGTATCGTACAGAGAGCTGTCTAAATGCAGCCTTGGGTTAAATATACATGTTCACAGTATAATAACACCCGCACTGTTCTGAATTTGAATTTCCCATGAGCCTTTGTGGTCATGTGGTTGGCCCATAGGCAGTATCCTCCCTGGCACAAATACTTTGACTGCTTCACCCAACCAGAATGCTTCCTCTATCTCCCAATCAGACATTAAAACTGCACGATGTAACTTTTCTGTTGAAGGGTCCGCCACCTTCTTGTTTCCATGGAGATGTTATTGCTTTGACCAAGTTACAGATCAGATTTGGAGCTCGAATGCACGTTTTACAAGGTATTTTGAGCAACAAATACACCTGTAATTGGTTAAATGTAAAAAAAATAAGTTTAATGCTATACAGTGGAAAATTTAAGGCAAAGCAATAACATCTCCTTAGAGTCAAGCAAAAGACGAATTCCTTCCACAGAAAAGTTACATAGTCCACCATCAAGATTTAAACTGTCATGTCAAAATCAGTCTTTTGTAAACTTTAAAGAGCTCATATTACACTATTTTCTGATCTATGCTTTGTTGTTTCCACATCAAAAACATACCCGGGGTGGCGTTTTGTTTCATTCACACATGTTTAAAACACAAACGCTGCATATTTAGGCTGAGTTCTTCTCTCAAACTAAAAACACTCTATTCCACCGGAGCATTTTCAGCTTTGGAGATGTAGACAGAGTGATATTAAAGGGTTACTCAAACATGTGGGAATGGAACAAAACACAACTCCAAGTATGTTTTTGAGGAAATAACAACATTATAACATGGCTTAAAGCTCACAAGAGTCATTTAATTACTGCGAAAATGTCTCCTGCTACAAAGTGTATGTTATCGTAAAGTTGTAATGAAAATGCGTTCCTCTCACAGCATGACATACCGGAGCTTGTAAAATGCCGTCTTCTCTGTCAATGCTTCCTCTGCTGTTTCTCGACTCTGTCTTCTGCTAAAAAAACAAAAACAAAAAAAGACAAGCAGTTTTAAAAAAGAATTCTCCAAGACATTAACTTTATCAGAAGCAGCACACGAAAATTCCAGTTTGCAAAAAGTTGTATCCGAAATGTTAAAAGTAAATTCCTTCAAAATGGCAACAAAGCCAAAATCTTCAGTTTCAATCCAGGTACCGTTTGGGTGAAGCAAGCCTTGAAGAGATGCATCCTGGGAAAACATATACGGATGACAGGAAGTGGAAAGGAGCTACTGGAGGCCATCGAAATAAGGGCGGAGAAAATTAGAGGAGGTTATGAGAGAAAGATTGAAAAAGACATTATGATAGAGGGAGAGGACTCGCCCAGACTGAGCAACAGAGAAAGTAGAAATAGAAAGAAAAGCTAAGAAAAGTTGAGTCAGGAAAGAGAGAGAAACCATGGCATGAAGTTTTCCAAAGAAGCCACAGTGCAAAACACATGCAGCAGTCTCTTGGTCTGTCTCTCTCCCACTGTTTCCATCGCATCTCTCCTCTCCTCTCTCCTCCCTCTATCCTCCCTTTGCCAATCCCACTTCCTCTCTTCTAGACTGTTTTCACCACCAGACTATGCTGCTTTTCGTTTATCGTGAGCGTCAAATTCAGCTGTAAAAATCCAAATCGGTGCTTAAAGTGCTTAGAGCAGAGGTAGCTTGAGGCACATGTAAATCCCTGTGTGGAGGCAGGTATCAAGTGTCCAGGAATGTGGATGATTTTCCTTTGATGGAAGAAGTGATTATTTATACTGAAGGAAAGTTGGCTTTTATATAAGAGGTCAGGCATGGCCACAGACGCACAAGAAATGTCTGGAGCCAGAATAGAGCAGGTTTTGTATGAAGTCTGCTTAGTGTATCTAAGCCTGGTATAAAGTTGCTTTAAGGGTTTGTACTATGCTATTTTCTGATCTATGTTATGTTGTTTCCTCATCAGAAACATGCTTGAGTTGTGTTTTGTTTCATTCACACATATTTAGGCTGAGTTCTTCTCTCAAGCATCCACATTGTGATGTCATGTGGTAATACAGAAAGTGCTCCACTGTATTTTTAAACTTCATTAACCTTCACTAGAATCATTTGGGTGAACTCAGTCCTGGAATTGCCAATCTCTACTGAACAAAAATTAAAAGGAGCTGTTCAAAGAAAACTACCACAACATGACATCACAAGGTGGAACTGAGCATTTTGAGCTTTGGAGATGTAGATGACTAATAATAAAGGATTACTCAAACATGTGTGAATGAAACAAAACACAACCCCAGGTATGTTTTTGAGGAAATAACAGCTTTCTAATGTGTCTTAAAGCTCACAAGAACCAATTTTACCCAGTTTAGACCCTCTAAAAGTACACTATGTCACTTTTCTGGAGGTGTTCAGCCACCAGCTTGTCTTGATATGTTACTGATTTGCCTGAAATGTTCCACGGTATAGCATTAAACTTGTATGTCTTTTATTTATCAATTCCATCTGTTTTTATTACTCAAAAATTGCTGATGAACACGCATTCTTACAATGAGTGCACCCACCTTTCCAGAGATCTGACCTATAACTGGGCTTTCTTGTCACTATTGTTATTAATAATAATATTCCACAAAAGCAATAACATCTCTGTGATAAGCAGGTCACAGTGCATAGTGCACTAGGGATGTAACAATAACCGAAATATCGTGATATAGTATCGTCAAAATTCTCACAATAATATCGTGGACCATCACAAAATATCGAATTACAAGTCTTTTTTTAGCTATTGCTGCACCATAACTCTTAATTTAAGCAGAAGGAACTACATAGACCATGATCCTTTGCTCCATTTCAATGTAGACTACATGAAGAAATAACAGTTCTAGGCACTTTTAAGTCTTAGTTCTTTGGGTTAAGTCTTGTCAAGGCATTTTAAGAGGAAAAAGCAGCATATTAAAAGTTTTGTTAACATCCACTAAATATCGCAACAAATATCATACCATGAGATGTATATTGTGAAAATATCATACAGAGAGATTTGGATATTGTTACATTCCTAATCGTGAGCCTCCCCACCGTATAGTGAGCTTTCCCATGATATCGCAATAAATATCGTACTGTGAGGTTCATACCGTGACTATATCATATCATGAGACTTGGATATCGTTACACCCCTATAGTCCACCTTTAAAACTTTCTTTTGACGAATTACAAAATGTTACCAAAATATCTCTCACATGTTTGCAATCCCTTAGAAATGTGCTCAAACGTGGAAAAATAACAGCTGAGGTATTCAACTGCCATAAATTGTCAAGAAGATCTGAGTAAAACTTAACAGAAAACAAAATCATCTGTCCTTGTTTAACTTTAGGCCAGAGCTTTAAATATGGTTCTTTCAAAGGAAGTGGATCAAATAATTCCCAATAATAAATGAGATTTTCTCCTGATCTGTGTCCTCCTTTAGCTTCTGTTCACCTAAATGAAAACAAGCAGCACGCAAATCAAGGCAAAGACCAAAACAGGTTGTGGCGCAGATAAGAAAAACAGTCTTGTTTGGGAGCTCTGTGGCCTTTTAGGAATGTTTCAGGTTCGGGTTTCAGGTAAAGTGGAAAACACAACAAATCAATTTTATATTTCAAAATCAAAATATTGTTGCATGGTGGTGGGCTGTGAATTAGAAACTGTTTTGATACTGTTGTGCAATAGTGTACATAAGTTGCTTTTAGACAAGGAGGTAAAGAAATATAAACTTTCGAATAATAGGGAGAACTTATGTTTGGTTTAATACAAGATTATAACTTCAGCTTCTGGGGAGTTCCCTTTTTACAAGACTTCTATAGAATTGTATGAACTATTCTGAATATTTGTATATGTTTCGTAAAATATAAAGATGCAGAAATTCTTGTATTTATACTAATTCGTAGGTTTGTAACGATACCCAAGTCTCACGAACGTCACAGTACGATATTTATTGCGATATTGTGGGAAAGCTCACGATATGGTGGGGAGGCTCACGATTAGAGATGTAACAATATCCAAATCTCTGTCTCTATTTATTGCAATATTTTGTGTGCTTAGAAAACTGTTAATATGCTACTTTTCCTCTTAAAATGCCTTGACAAGACTTAATCCAAAGAACTAAGACTTAAAAGTGCTGAGAACTGTTATTTCTTCTTGTAGTCTACACTGAAACGGAGCAAAGGATCATGGTCTATGTAGTTCCCTCTGTCTTTTTTTTTTTTTTTTTTAGCTACTGCTGCACCATAAGTCTTAATTTAAGCAAAAAGGCTTGTAATTCGATATATTGTGATGGTCCACGATATCATTGTGAGAATTTCGATGAGACGAAATCACGATATTTTGGTTATTGTTACCCTACTAATTCATGATCAGAAGTGGGTAGTAGTTATGTTTATTTGAGTACTTTTTTAAGGAAATTGTCGTTTTGGGAGTAGTTTTCTCATTTTCGCATTTTACTCCCATTACTCTTCTCACTGTGTGCAAGTTTGAAGTGACAAAAGCTAAAGGAAACCATAATAAAAAAAATCAAGGTTTAGATAATATATGGTATGTTATGTTTGCATGGACTAGACAGCGTTTAATTATTTGAACATTTGTGTTGCTTGCAATGCTTCCTCAGATATTATTTAGTTTTTCTCTCTATTTTTCTTGTCTATCTTTGAAAATCCCCCCAAAAATTCTAACTAACCTCAAATGACAAATCGGATCTTACTTTCAAACCAGTACTATTAGGGGTTAGGGTGCAGTAATTTCATAGACCACTACTTTGTATTTCTACTTGAGTAATATTATTTTGAATGTTACTTTCACTTGAGTGCAAATTATGTCTACTCTACCCTCCTCTGTTCATCATTCAGCTTGTTTTAGGTGGTTGAGTCCTCCATAAACTACCACTCACACTTTCCCAACATTTTGACTCTTTTGCCTGAACTGTTTAAGTATAAAACCAGACACATAAAGGTGTTTTTACTGAAATTCAACTCACCATGAAGCTCTCCTCCTGCTCGAGCCATCGCTGGTCATCCTCCATCTGCTGTTGTTGCATCATCAGCCTCTCCTCCATAAGAGCCTGTCCCACACACCCATTGTCCTGTCAGAAAACACATGGACGGTCAATTTTCCAGGATTTCAGCCCTGGAATTGTCTCCCTCAACTGAACTGAGTTTTAAACATGTAGACAGATGAATAATAACGGATTACTTAAACATGTGTGGATGAAACAAAACCCAATTCCAGGTATATTTGTAATGATTTAAAGCTCACAAGAGTCAATTTTGTGTAATAAAAAACCTTTAAATAAATAAATAAAGTCCCATTACGGTATAGTTTGATCTAACATTGCATGTGAGTGTAACTTACATTATTTAGGGGATAAAAATATGTAATAATAATTTAGTGACGTAAGATTATTGTTATATTTATTATTGCCACAATAGCAGTGTGACAAACAAAGATGAGCCTGTGGATTCCTTTGCTCAAATTAACAAAGTAAATATGTTGGCCTATTTAACTGTAGTAACAGTAGCAGATAGTGGTGGGCAAAAATATAAAAATATCGATATATAATATTGCTTAATGTGATGATACAGTATTGATATTGTGGGCTTTTTGGTATATTTTACTCAATTCTTTTGTTACAGCGCTACAGTTTTATTGCTTGTTTAGAGAAAAAAAAACTAATTTATGTGACACATTTGACATATTCACAGTTTTGATGAGTAAAATGGGCGTGTTTCATATGAACTTTGCTCAAGAAGTGGTTTAACAAAGACTTTTAGTATCACAGTCATGATTTAGCCACCGAAATTGAATCGAAAAGTGCACTATATCGAGATACAACTTCTTAATGATATCCAGCCCTAGTAGCAGAAGTACCTCGATATTGTTGCTCCAAAGCGCTGTGTGTTCAGGTCTGTGCTGATTCCAGGTTTCAGACTGAGGGAAGCTGCCTCCCCCGAGACCAGGAGCCTAAACAAGAACAACGTTGGTATTTCTTATCTGGTCACAATTGCTTCAGAATGTTTGAATGTGTAAATGTTGATTTGTACACTGGTAAAGGAAAATATTTCTCTTTAACACTTAGAAATTTCATTTTACAGATGCAACTTAGTAATTTTACAAGTACAATTCTGAAAATTACTCTTTCACAAGTTTTGAGACATTTGTTGCGTCGAGTTTGTCTCAAAATTATTTGAAAGCGCAACGACTGATTTGAAACTGAAAACAGCAGATTTCTTTCAAAAACTACACCATATATTGTATTGTACAATTACTCTCTTTACCTGAACAGTTTGTGCCACTAGGGACCTGCTATAAGAGTAAAACGAAATTTGTAAGAGTAAAAAAAAAATTACAAGTGTACAAAACAACATTTACACATTCAAATGTTTTGGAGTAAATGTACCTTTATACATGACATTCTTGTATATATACACTGACAAGACAAAACTAACAAATTAACCTCCAAACAAATCATCAAAATTGAAACAGCAAAGATCATAGATTTAGTTTCTTAAAGGTGTAAAACTGTGTAACTTGTCAGGTTGAGGTTACACTACATGTTATTACTGTGCCTGAGTTACGGTTGCCACAATTTAACCAAGTTACAGCAGTTACACTTTGAGCAAGAAATACATCTGTAATTGATTAAACGCTAAAAAGTTAGTAATAAGTCTCAGGCTGTACTGTGGAGAATTTAAAACAAAACAATAATGTTTCCTTAGAGTCAAGCAAGAGATGGACCCCTCCACCAGAAAAGTTATAAAGTCCACCTTTAGGATTTAAACCGTCATGTCCTCCACAAAACATAATATAATCATACATCAGCATGTCAAAATCAGTTTTTCTATGCAAAAAAATCACCTATTTGTGTGCTTTTAATCTTATAAATCTGAATCATTTGGTCTGAAGTGTAAACCATTATTTCCACCTTGAATGACAGAACACTGACTAGGTTGAAATAGGGGCTCTGAAAATACATAGATGTTATTGTAAGTTCCAATAGGATCAGGCCCTTATAAGGTTAACAGGAGAGCGTGGCTGTGCGAGTGGCTTTAAGCGCTACAGGAAATGCCGTCTGTCTGCCTGGTTTATGAGGAGAGAGAAGAATAACTGTGGTGGAAGAAGTCATTTTCTTATGCTTCAGACTTCTCTCTCCAGTGGCACATTGACGTGCAGCTTTGGGTCACTGCAACTTCATCGGGGTGAGCAGAAATGTATAAATACTGCAATGAGTAACTTTTCTGCTGGAGGGTCTGCCATCTGATTGTCTTTATCAAGATGCTTTACCACCTGGAAAAGTTACACAGTGAACCTTAAATAAATTAGATTCTGATGGTTATTTTGCACAGAAATATAGTTAATGTTAGGAGTAAATACTACATCTGTCTGATTGTGGAATCACTTCTTAATTTGGATTCAGTGATGTTATTGTGAACAAAACATAAGAGCATCTGCCAGTCTGTGCCATCGACCCCTGAGACCACCACCAACATTCACACACACACCACTTCTATACTAGGCAATGTGGGTGAAGTGTCTTGCCTAAAGACACAACGACCAGGCACCCCACTGTGCACTGCAAACAAGCTTGGCCAAAATTTAATTAGAAAATGACATAAAAGTAGTGAAAGCAAGATAATTTTGACAAGTTATCTTAAAATAAACTGCATCTAGACTAGAATTAATCCCATTCAGAACTAGTAAGTAGTAGTCAGGCTGGCGCCACCTAGTGCCTCCACTCAATTTCATCTCTCTCCAGTGACTAGGTCAGGAATCACAATACATTAGATGGTTTGCAAGAACCCCGAAAGTGCGAGTTCAGGCACCAGCCAATCAGAGAAGAGGCATATATTCTATGTTGGCAACAATTCCTGAGATCAAGGATTTAAAGCCAGAACAAAGAGAATAATTGGTGAATTTTGTCAAGGGAAAAAACATTATTGCACTTCTTCCTAAGGGACTTGGGGAAAAGCTTAATATACCAGTTAGCCCCATTTGCGGCGCATTACATACGTCACGACCAAATAGCAGCGATTGGTTAAATAAAAAAAGTACCTGCCTGCTGACGAGCAAACAAATTGTGAGGTCAGACGGTTTCCACTAAGTGAAACCGGCTGATGAATCAGGATAAGTAAGTAGATAATAAATCTGAAAACAAGATGAATAACCTGATATAAGTTTTAAATTCTTGGCCAGATCAGAGAACTTTGCAGTGTGGCACCTGGTGTTCCCAGCAGTCTCCCATCCAAGTACTAAACCAGCCCAGCTCTCCTCTACTTCTGAAATCTGGCGATATCATGCTTTGACAAGGAGGTTTGGCCAAGTGAATTTAATTTTAAGAACTTTTTTTTTTACTCTACTCAGCATTTGGGCAACACTATTCAATAAAACAGAAGCTGTATTCTTACTTGAAAGTGGTTGTGCTGAGGGCTGGAGAAGTAGCCTTCACTGGATCTAGGACTGGGGTACCCGGGCCTGCTGGGCTGAAAGGTCAGAGACAGCAGAGTGTTAAAGCTCATGTTACGCATTTATATCAAAGAGAGTTTGACAGAGTTAGTTTTACTTTGGGCGGAGCTTCATCAGGACCTCCCGAGTCCCAGGACACTGTGACCTGTCTCCTCTGCTCCATTCGCAGACGCTCCTCCTGCTGTAGCTTCTCCTCCTCTAAGATAGTGCTGCATAGACACACAATTTATGACTTGTATATAACCATCTAAGTAAATACCTGTCTTTACAATTTACTTAAAAATTCTATATGAGAAATTATGTTGAAAACTGTCAAAACATCTATAAATAACACGTATCTTAACTTATAATCAGGCATATTTGAATGTCATCCTTTGGGATAATACATGTATAGATACAAGCTTTTAAAATTCCATTGGGCTACACAGGTAAACATCTATGTACCAGAAAATTTAGGCAAAAGCTCCAATGAAATATACTTTTGAGATTCACAGCTGTCCCATAATAATACCTGTAAATATAGTTGTGACACTGTGTAACGATGTAAACTATGATTTTTAGGTTGCCATGATACTTCCAACAGTACACAGACTTAAAGGCCTGATTTTAATTTATTCTTGTCAAGATAAATGCTCTTTACGTCATACATTTTACAGAAAAAGCTGCTAAATAAGAAACATAAATTGAGACTGTAAACCATAATCTATTCATTTTTCCTCACATAACTATTACATAAACAACTGAGATGTAACACTGTGCATGATTGGATGAAAAAGGTGGCTAAAAAGTATGTGAAATAAACTGCCAAAATGCACTCTCAATGCAATCTCAGACACTTGATTCTCTGTCATGGTGCATTTTCAAGAGTGACAGAAAAACCAATCAGTCAGAAATTTAAAACATTTAAGGAAACAACTGCAGGCAAAGTTGTTTCTGAACCATGGTGTAATTTCACAGCGGGAGAAGAGAATAAAACGTTCAAACTAAAACATGTTCCTCACTCTTCACTTGAAATGAAGCTCACTGGGGGCTGGCATTTATAGGGGCGAATTTGGAGTCAAATTCCATATCAGGAATAGGAATTTATTTTATGAACCAAAATCATGTAGAGAGTGTGAATATGAACATCTTAAGACCACAATGACAATTTTTTTATGCAAAGTCAAAAGGAGGTAGAGTCGATGGAGTCGGAAGCACCCCCATGCTCACTTCCTGCCCAGAACTAGACCCTCTTCTTATTAATTTATATTTGTATATGATTTAAATTTCTGTTGACCGGCCTGTATACAGTCTATGGGTACAGAATAAACATTTTCTAATTAAATATGAACCTGCGATTACCTGAGTTGTGTTTTGAGTTCAGTGAAGCGGGGCCGTTTGCTGGGATCGTATGACCAGCATTTGGTCATCAGACTGTAGAGAGTGGGCGGGCACTGATGGGGCATTGCCAACCGCTCGCCATTCTCGATCCTGCCAATCACATCATTGTTCTTCACGCCCTGGAAAGGCTTGATGCCGTACATCAAGATCTCCCACATACACACACCTGCAGAATTGATAAAAAAAATAAAACATGTAATCACTAGAAATAAAACCCTTTTTTCATTATGGATGTTTTTATTGCTCTGAAAAGCATGTGTCTTGAATCTCCACAAACCTGACTCCAATGCAGGTGGCTTTCTACCCTTAAAAAGTTACATATTGCTACTGTAATTAAAAAATAATAAAATCTGTGATCTTACCAAACATCCACACATCGCTGGCAGAGGTAAATCTTCTGAAGTTTATCGATTCAGGAGCCATCCACTTTATGGGGAGTTTGCCTTTAGAAGCTAAGTAAAGAAATTACATCATTAGAAAAAAATAAATAAAACTTGTGTGAAATAAACTATGAAACATCAAATTAATATAACAGATTAAATTTCAAGATAGTTTTAGTTGCCAATGGAAAGTATTTGAGAGAGATCTGCTCTAGCAAGTTTATAAGTAGTTTATAATGTTGTCAACAGAGGGCAGTAGAGTATCTGAACACTGAGGATTTCTGTCACTAGATACTCTACTGTTTTTGCAGAATTAGTAAAACTTAAAATGATAAAATCATACCTTTGTAATAAGAACTATCCTCCATGTATCTTGACAGACCAAAGTCTCCAAGCATCACACAGTCAATGGAAGACACCAGTACATTACGCGCTGCAATGTCTCTGAGAGTCAATGAAAGGTAATGGGGCACGTCAGACGTTTTCAAACACAAAACCCTCTAAAAGAACATTAAAACCATTGGTAAGTCATAGATACCTGTGCACGAAGCGTTTGCTCTCCAGATAGGCGAGTGCTGTGCTGAGCTGGTACGCAAACAGAATGAGAGTGGCCAAGTCTAGGCTGTACTTCCTCACCTGAAGGAAGGACCTTAACTATAATAATAATAAGAAGAACACAATACATTTATGAGAAAACATTTCATTTCTGCAACCAGACAAAACTATCACACACGGTATTCATATTAGAGTTGTCAGAATTTGATATGTAGACATAGCAGACACTCCTCTATTATCAAAACTAGAAGATGAGCAGGTAAACAGGTGTCGACATTGCATTTATAGCGCAATTATATATCTGCCCAGAGCTAAACACTTAAACTTCTTTATAAAACGGAAGAGAGTGATGCACAGTTTTTGAATGACCATAATCTATATCAAAGCTAGTACAACAAGAAGGTACATTTAAAGAAACTAAACTACTACTATTTTGTTTTGAAGATTACAGTTTGCAGTTTGTTTTTTTCATTGTAGTATTGAAATCAGTATCAAGTATTGCGCTTTATATTGCGATAACACAACTTCAGACAATATTTTATCCAAGGTCTGTTATGGCATTGTTTCCCAAAGACTGGGTCACAAGAGATTTATATTGGGTTGCCTTGTCACGATCTGCATGTAGACAATAATACAATATACAGTAATATACAGTTCTGCCTAGACGCTTGATACGCATGTTGCGCTCTCCTCCTGCACCACAGACTGGAACATGCCACAAAAATGAAGACAGGCCAATCTATCTCTTTAGAAATGTTGAAATGTTAAGACATGTTTTTCTCATTTCTAATCTTTTTGTACTGGTAATTATTTTATTGACTATTTTGTTCCAGGATTGCTGGTTCAATTGAGTGAAAAGAAAAAGAAATGGGCTACATTTAATGTCCAAATAGGCGATTTATGGATCCTTTTATTGCTGGTTCAATTATTGTTTTTCATTGTTTAAAATTTGAGTAATACTAATTGTTCAGAGAGACACGATCACTCAGTCAACAATAAAATGTTCAATAATGGTCAATCCACCTTTATTTTGTGATTTATGAATAATTTCTGTTGACTTGGATTGTGAAGGTTTGCGATTTTAAAAATATGAGTCCTCAGAAAAAAGTTTGGGAAACACTGTGTTATGGTATACACTTAATGACTTTTCAGTTGTGTAACATCTTGATTTATCATATGTTGTAATTTGTTGGTTATTATGAAGTCAACCATAGAAAATGCATTGTGGTCTGTTTTGCTTATGGCATCACACTTTTGAATGCAGGCTCTGCTCTTTAAACACACTAAAATAGCATGCATATACCAGTGGCTCTCAAACCAATGCTACCTCAGAAAATATTTGGTTTTCCACGTAACACAAGAGCTAAACCAGGTCTAAAACAGGACTATGCAATTGCTAAACTAGTTACAGCTGGACCAACCCAAAGGAAATGTGTATTAAAGGGTCCATATTACGCTATTTCCTAATCTATGATCTAACTAAAACAGGACTAAACCAGGACTGAACCAGGACTGAAACAGGACTGAACCAGGACTAAACCAGGACTAAACCAGGACTGAATCAGGATTGAACCAGGACTGAATCAGGACTGAACCAGGACTGAATCAGGACTGAACCAGGACTGAATCAGGACTGAACCAGGACTAAACCAGGACTGAATGAGGACTGAATGAGGATTGAAACAGGACTGAACCAGGACTAAAACAGACTAAGCCAGGATTAAACAAGGACTAAACCAGGACTAATCTTGGACTTGAGAGCGAGAGAGAGAGAGGGAGAACCCCGAGCCCGTGGAGCAGGGTGTCCACAAAACATGACTGGCCGACGGCTGCGCTTAGCCCTGTGTGGCGCGGAGCTCGACACCGGTCCTTTCTCCTGCAGTCACGTGACGGTCTACACGGGTGCACCTTCAGGCCCGTCCCAACACTCAGACCTGTTTTAGTCCTGGTTCAGTCCTGGGATCAGTCCTGGGATCAGTGCTGGGATCAGTGCTGGGATCAGTCCAGGTCACTATAGGACAGTACTGCAGATGTCATGAGCCTATGCAGGTTGTTTTCACCATAGCCAGTAGCTCCGGTTTGACATTTAAGTTGTAGGTTATTTTATATTTGTTATTTTTTGTATCTCACGTCAGGAGAAGTGGGTGGACGGAGTACCCCTGCGTACCACGCCCACTACTCCCCTGGTTGTTACCGCTACAAACACATACCTGGAGTTGTGTTTTGTTTCATTCACATATGTTTAACACAAACACCTGCATGTTTAGGTGAAGTTTTAACCTCCATACACCTTCACTAGAATCATTTGGATGAGCTCAGCCCTGGAGTTCCCAATGTCTATTGAACAAAAGGTAAAATGTAGCTGTTAACTTGAAAACTACTGCTTCACGACACCACAAGGTAGAACAGAACATTATGAATTTTGGAGATGTAGACAGACTAATAATAAAGCGTGTGTGAATGAAACAAAACACAACTCCAGGTATGTTTTTGTGGAGCTAACAATGTTCTAACATGACTAAAAGCTCACAAGAGTCAATTTTGTGTAACCTTTGGACCTTTAAACTGCCTTTAACACTCTATAAAGATATTTAGTTATCACAAAAGTATTTAAATCCATGCCAGGCCACAGAGAGTAATTTAAATGTACCTCTCCCAAAGTGCACAGCTCCATGATGATCCAGACCGGGTTTTCCGTGATCACTCCGATGAGTTTCACGATGTGTGGGTGGTCAAACTGCCGCATGGTCACTGCCAGAACAAACACATTCATCACCATAGAGTAACATTACATCATAGGCAAAAAAACAAAAAAGAGATAATTTAATTTACGCGCTTCTTGGAGGAACTTCTCTCGGACACTGTCTGAAGTGCAATTTTTACAGGTTTTGATGGCAACAGGTAGAGATGGCTTGTCCTGAAACACAGAAACGATGGTAAATAATACAAATAATTATATGTATTACTAACTATAAGACAATGTAGGTAATGTGTAATTTATTTAAAATTATTTTCTGATTTAATTTATAATGTTTCCTCATCACAAACATACCTGGAGTTGTGTGTGTTCATTCACACATGTTTAACACACACAAATAGTATTTAGGTTGTATTTTTCTATCATTCTGTTCTACCTTGTGATGTTATGTGGTAATACAGAAAATGTTCCACTGCGTTTTTAAACTCCATGCACCTTCACTAGTATCATTTGGATAATTTCAGCCCTGGAATTGCCAATATCGACTGAACAAAAATGTAAAAAAAGCTGTTAACTTTTTCGAAATCTACCGCTTCGTGACATCACAAGTTGGAACGAAGCATTTTGAGCTTTAGCGATGTTGACAGATTAATAATAAAGGGTTTACTCAAACATGTGTGAATGAAACAAAACACAACTCCAGGCATGTTTTTCATGAGGTAGCAGCATTCTGTAATGGCTTAAAGCTCACAAGAGTCAGTTTTGCGCAATATAGGACCTTTGGCAAACCACTGAGTTAAAAAAAAACAATAACAACAACAAAAAACCTATCAAAACAACAGGCAACTTTATTTTTTTGACCTGTCGTTGTCACTGAACAGGGTTGAGTAGGGAGTGACACTTTGTCACAATTTTTGAGACCAGTAAAGGACCTAAAAGACATAGTGCAGGACAATATTCAATAGTTTATTTTACAATATTACGCCTACAACAACCCTTTCTCTAGATATTTTTTCTTTTTTTTTCTTTTTTTTTAACTTTTTTTGGGGAGGGCTTGTCAAATGCTTTTCTCCTTGGCGATGTTATTGCTTTGTCTGGAATGTTTAACACTATGGCATTAAACCTTTGTATCTTCATGGAGACCAAACCACTCACAGTCAGAATGTTTGGTTTTCTAGGTATTTTTGAGCAACAGAACTAAGTAAGGTGAAGCTGTTTAATGTCATACTGTGGAACATTTCAGGCAGAACAATGACATATCCATACAAACAAGCAGGTGACGGACCGCTAAATAAAATGCTACATAGTGCAGCTTTAACAGCACATACCGGGGGGCTGTAGACTCCTTGATGCACGTCTCCGAACTGTCCCTCCCCGATGCAGCGTCCGAGCTCTATCCTTTCCCTCTGGATTTCATAGTCCCGCGCTGACAAAACAAAAGACAACTCCATCATTGTGAAAATATGACAGTATTACTTGTGATCATGTCTTTTCTCAACATAATTATAGAGTATAAACCAAAAGCTGCTCTGTTCAATTTTAAATGTTTCAACTTGGCAATTTAGAAATCAATATTCATTAACACAACACATTCTGGCATCTGGGAAAGTACGTAGCAGTTTGCCCACATAACAGAAAAATAAGTACAGTAGTAAGTCATAATCATTTTGTTTTTCTTCAAAAGCCAATAACAAATTAAAAAGTACCATGCCCAGAACACGAAGTACAACATTTACTTTTGCGTAACTACTGATACATATTTTAAATACAATGAAGCCTAAACATATGATCCAGCTTAAACATGCACTGTGTAACTTTTGTGGTAGAGGGTCTACGTAGAAATGTTATTGTTTTGCCACAGTATGACATTAAGCGTATTTCCATGGTAACGGGCAAGTAACACCGCCAGGCCAAGTTACAGTTCAGATCTGTTGCCCTGCTCACAGTTTGAATGCATCATGTTTGTCATTGACCTTACGAGCTATGAAAACACCTGTAATTTTATTAAAAGATTCAAGTTTAATGCCATACTGTGGAAGATTCAAGACAAAGCGATATCATCTCCAAGACAATACAAGCAAGTGGCGGACCCTCCACCGCAAAAGTTACACAGTGCACCTTTAACAGTGCGCTATAATGAAATGTTTTGAAATGAAGTACAGACAAATTTACCTGATTTATAACACATTTTAATATGTTTGATTTAAAGGTGCATTGTGCAACTTTTCTGGTGGATAGAGATGTTAGAGATGTTATTGCTTTGTCTGGAATGTTTCACAGCATGGCATTAAACCTTTCTAACTTCATCTATCTATGACCAGACATGTCAAACTCAGGCCCGGAGGTCAAATTTGGCCCATGATATAATTATATTTGGCCCGCGAGACAATATCAAATATGTATTAGAGCTGGTCCGCTGAGTACAGATAGGCTTTAGAGACATTATTTAAATTTTTTTTATTATCCTTGTTCTGGATTCAATGTTTAAGCAACACTATTATTACACATTTATTTTAATAAGAAACGGTTTAACATTACATATCTCGAAAGAAGAGAAAACATGCAGATGCTGTTGAAATTTTTCTGTAAATATTTAGTTTGGCCCACAACTTAGGCTCACTTTGGCCCTTTGTGAATTTGAGTTTTGCACCCCTGCTCTAGACCAAACCAGACCAAGTTACAAGTCAGATCTGCGGAGAGGCAACCCTGCTCACAGTCAGAATGCCTGGTTTTCTGGGTATTTTTGAGCAATAGAACCACCTGTAATTTAATAAATGTAAAGTAGAGCTGTTTAATTAATGTCATACTGTGGAATATTCCAGGCAGAGCAATGACATATCCATGGAAATAAGCAGGTGATGGACCCCCAACCAAAAAGTTACACAGTGCACCTTTAAATTACTGTTTTGTTTAAAATTGCATGCATTTTTCACATACATTTTTTAACAAGTTTTTCGATGTCTAGAAAGCAGCTAATAAGCACAAGGCATTACACTGAGACTTTTACCTTCGACAACTCCATAGCTGACTGTGTAGGCAATGGGAAAAAGAGGAAGAGGAGGTTGAAAAGAAGAAGAGGAAGAAGCAACTGTAGGAAATATCTCAGAGACACATTAAAGACACGAGGCATTTTGAGTGTGTTACCATGTGTGTGCTCACATAAACCACAACTGTATATTTTACCTACAGACTTTATATTACACATCTGAAGCAAGCAAAATGTGACAGGCTAGAAGCTGCATATTTCAGGAGAAGAGAGGAAGAAGAGAGCAGAGTCCAGTTTCAGACTTGGCCACACAATCAAACAACCCAAAAACATCCAAATTTAAATTGTGGTTCAGTGGGACAAAGCCACCATTACTTACTTACAGGCTTTGACCAAACTTTGAAGACAAAATTATGAAATCAAGTTGGAGAAAATGAATGGTTTGGGTAACGAGCTTGACAGATGTAGTGTTTTTAAATGTGACCATCAAAAATGTTGCTTTAAGTCTGTCCAATTGGCCTGGAATCGATTAGCTGTTCTTAAATTCAATGGAGCTCTTTAAAATAAGTTTCTACAGTATATACTTCAATATTTGTATGACTTACTTGAGGGCATGGTGTATGTATCCTCTTCATCAACTATCTCTGCATAGTCGTCAGTTTCTGCAACAAAAAGATCAAGTTTACAATCAAAATAACTTTATAACTGCAAAGAAAGAAAACAAAACATCTCTACTGCAACCCACACTAGTCAAACAAAGCTACACTGAAGTACACTGATGTAAAAATGTGTTCTTCCTAAGCTAACAAAGTCCACACTAGCGTAGCCTCTTGGTTTTTCCCCAGTTTTGTAGCACACATTTGGCTCGGCGTGTCAGCTGTGCTTGTGTTGTGAGAGAGCAGAGTCTGGAGCCGCGCCAGGACAGAAGGAAAAAGGCTTTACAAGTGAGAGAAAGAAACTAGGAGATTAAAGTGCCATGACATGTTGGGCTACTCATTTGACCAAAACACAGTTAAGATCATTTAAGATTTAAAATGAAATGTTACTATTTTTTTCCAGTTTGTCCAATTTGTAGGTTTCAAATTGAATCCTAGTTGTAAATTGTCACATCATGATAGGTGTTACCTAATAACCAGGATGTAGTCTAGGCCAAAACACAGACATTTTCATTTGACAAATTAAAATACAAAAAACAAACACCTTTGTTTTGATGAAATAATGTTCAGAGTATCAGAAAAATGTGTTTCTCTTGTGAAAATGGTGACAAATTTTTGGACAGAATTCTCCCCAGTAAAGGTGTGCAAAAATATCGAAATATCAATATATTGTATTGTTTAATGTGATGATACAGGATCAATATCAGGGACTGCTGTGTCGATATACTGGCAAGAGTGTTTTTTGGTATATTTTGATTGATTGATTGCATTTATATAGCGCCTTTCAAGATACCCAAAGCACTTTACAGTTCATTATTCAGTCACTCCACACTCATTTTACTCACTTATTTTACAGCGCTACAATTTTGTTGCTTGTTCAGAGAAAGGAAACTCGTTTTGAGGAATAAAATGTTTGTGTTTCATATGAATTTTGCACAAGAAGTGGTTTAACAAAGACTTTTAGTATCACAGCCATCATTTAGACATTATTATTTTTTTATTAAACCATATTGAATCAATTTAAAATATATCGTACTGAAACAAAATTACACTATATCTGCAACTTCTTAATGATACCCAGACCTAGTCCCCAGAGTGACATCTTCAGTGTGGGACTCTTTAAACAGAACTCACTACTTCCTGTAATTTTCCAAAAAAATTGCCACTTTTCTTCACAAATTGCTTCTTCATTGGTGGAAAGCTATAATTTATATATACAATAGGTATTAGAACACCTAATTAAGTAAACATTATACATGTCATATGCACTTTAATACGGTTTATGCAGGAGTAAAAAGTAATAGTGATTTGATAATAGACTCTTTGTGCCAGTTCAAGGCTTAAATATGTGTAGGGCCTTGCATTATAAAAATATATACACATTTACTTTATCTAGAGCTGCACTGTATAGCGCAGGGGTCGCCAACCTGTAACTCGGGAGCTACCAGTAACTCACCAACCCCTTCCAAGTAGCTCACCGTGGGATTTCTGAATTACATGTCTTGTGCTGAATAAGTAAAATTTGATTATTTAAATACCATTACTATTGTACATGTATCATTTTGATGCCTAACTCTGTGCACTAAGAAATTAATAATGGTTTATTTTTTATAGGCATCTACCTGCACCTCATCTATGGCTCGCTGTGGCTCTTATATTTACTCAATTTCTTGTGAATGCTAAAACTAGTAGCTCTCTGACATTTTCATTTTGTAAAAGCAGCTCACCGGAGGAAAAAAGTTGGAGACCCCTAGTACAGCACAATCAAATCAAGTTGGCGCAATTATCAAATAACAACCACCGTAATTATTTATAGTAGGAAAACCTCTGCAAAGAACTATTTTTAAAACCTTTTTATAAATAGAAAATATGTTGTTATACCTGTAGTTTAGACCTCTACAAACTGAAATGTGTGGAATTCTTGTATTTGTTTATTAGTTCATATTTCAGTCTTTTCTAACGTTTACATCTCTTTGTGCTGTTTAGTTTTAGGAAATTAAACATATTTTGCACAATGAATCACTATTATAATACTTAATAATTTTCCAAAATTCGTAGCCCCACTGCAAATACTCTCAATGACACAAATAATTGTAAAAATACATGTTTAGTTTTTATATGCCCGTGTTCTTGCCAATACAAAGCTCCTATTGGTAGAATTATGAAAGAAGCAGATGGCAGCATTTTGGATCCAATCTGTGCATAAACAGACACTTAGGTGGAAGAAGTCTGTCCAGATGTGAGTATTTAAATAAAGTGTTGCAGAATCAGCTGTTGGAGAGGAGACCTGAACAGCTGTCTTCCCGAACGCAGCCCCCCAGAAAAGTGTTTCACATGGGATTTATTGGGCTCCGTGGAACGCATGGCCAAATCGATCAGGGAATCTAAAGCTGCTGATGTTAGCAACACACATTTTCTCACAAGAGCCTCCTGCCTCTGCCGTCATGTGAACACAGACACTTGGTGCTTATTATAGAGCGATTATGAGAGCGGATTATAGTAGTTAGCGTTGCGGAGATTGAGAAGTAATTGTATGGTAAATGATGATGAGAAACAGGACGCTATCGCACTGAATACAGACAGAACCGGGGAAGCTGACGGGGGGGATAAATTGGTCTGTTGTCCGTCTTAGGGGCCCAGAATTGGACTCTTCCTATTTATTAATATTAGAGGGGGTCCCATGTGAAGCTTTTTGCCCCAGGCCCCCTAATTTCTGTTGACAGGCCTGGATAAAACAGTTCTTAGTTTTGAGTTCTTGCAGTACTAATCTGAGTAGTCAAAGGAAGTCGGAGGCAGAATTTTGAGAATAGTTTTGGGGATTTTTCTGAAGTATTCTGAAGAGATTTTACAATTGAATTTTTGTTTCCTAAATGAAGATTCAGTTTACTTTCAAAACACGCATAAAGAAGCATTGATTTTGGGAATAGACACAAAAAAAATTTATTTCAAGCATGTTTGTAAGTGTTGACCAACTTTACACCCCATGAAGACATGATGTTTAGTCTCTAAAAGAAAATGTATCTTCTAATTGAATTGAAGCTGACACAATTTGCTATTTGTGATCTTTTAAAACGATTATATTGGGTCGAATGTGATTAAATTTAAGGCCCCATGTTACATTATTCTCTAATCTGTGTTATAATGTTGTTTCCTCATTAAAAACATACCTGGAGTTGTGTTTTGTTTCATTCACACATTTTAACACGCACACACACACGGCATATTTAGGCTGAGTTCTTCTCTAAAAAACAGAAAACACTCTGTTCCACCTTGTGATGTCATGTAAGAAGTGCTCCGCTGTGTGTTTAAACTAAATTCACCATCTCGAGACTTATTTCAGTGATTTCAGACCTGGAATTGCCAACCTCTACTGAAATAAAGTTAACGTGAAAACTGTCGTGGTGCTTCCTGACATCACAACGTGGAAGAGAGCATTTTGAGATGTAGACAGACTAATAATGCTAACTAATAATGTGTGAATGAAACAAAACACAACTCCAGGTATGTTTTTGAGGAGGTAACAACATTCTAACATAAAGCAGCTGACCTTTTTCCTCCAGAGAGCAATCTTTACAAAACAGAAATGCCAGAGAGCAACTCATTTTAGAGGGTCGCAAAAACTTGAGACAATTATAAGAAAGAGGGCAAGCCTTGGTGGACGGTTAGATGTCTTTAAAACATAAACAATTATCCATTTATTAGTGCACAAAGTTGGGCTTCAAAATGATACATGTACAGTGTTTATAGGCGGGTATAGTTCTCTGGCTTAAAGAGTCCAGTGTGCATAATATAGGACCTTTAATCAACCTTAATGTTATATCCATGCCAGTGCTATAAAGGTAAAATGTTTTCCCTGCACAGAAAAGTCAATTTACATGATTGGGACTGACACAAACTATAGACTGTGTTTGTAACTCATTTGGACAAACAGTATAATCATACAATAATGTGAGTGGTCTGTCTTTTCTGGTTTTAGCCAAGAAATCACGTTTGTGTGTTGTGATCTAGTTAGCCCGTTATAGCCAGGAATGCACGGCTTTCAAATTCAGCAAGGCTCCACACCAAGCTCTGAGTGTGCACATAATACACGTGTGCTTAAAAGAAAACACTGGAAGGATACATCACAAATTTGGCCTAATCTAGAGCTTCTGATTGTATATAAAATGCATTTCATGGTATAAATCAAACCTTTTCAGCCCAAAATACAGGTTTCCAAAGTACAGGTATTTCCAGTGGTGGAAGAAGTACTCAATTTTGTTACTTAAGTAAAAGTACAGATACAGAGGCAAGATGTTACTCGAGTAAAAGTATCACATGAAAAAAATAAGTAAAACTATTAAAGTACCTCTTTAAAAATGTACTTAGAGAGTAAAAAATAAAAGTATTTTGCAGAGAGTTTTAGAACAAATAAAGGATGAAATATTGTGATTTTGTTAATGAGTTTGGTTGATTTTAAGTGATTCAATTTAAAGTCTAGCTGTTTTTGTTTATTTGTGTGTTTGGTTTGCTCAAAGATGAGACGTTAACTCAAATTAAATGTTCTAAAAATAAGTCTCAGCCTTTTCAGCAGGTCTCAAACCATAAAAAGTACACTCTACTTTTTGGAGCAGAAAGTACAGATACTTTCTCTCAAATTCAGTGAAGTAAAAGTAAAAAGTATCCACTGTAAAATGTACTTAAGAAAAGATACTTACACATTTTAATTAAATATTGTATTTTCACTTTTGTACTTCATTACCTTCCACCACTGGCTATCTCAGATCTAAACCAGGGACTATAGCAGGACTAAATCAGAACTACAAACTAGGACTGAACCAAGATTTAAAAAAAAGTGCTACAAACTCAAACTAAACAAGCTCTACAGAAGCAAAGTGGGTCACTACAGTCACTACAAAATGCTCACAATCAACAGTACCTGAACCATAACTCAAGAGTCACTGATACACAATACGTCAAAGTGTTAGACAATGTAAAACTTTGACTGTTAGTAGCACATGTAAAAACTA